ATGTTATTTCATATAATTAATTAAATAAGTATTGCCTTGGCAAGAATGAAATAAAAGAATGAAACCATTACCAGGCAAACATGAAATGAAATAGCTAGGCAACAATAAGAAATTGCTGGGTAGGAAAGAAATAACCCTGGGGAGGCAATGAAATGAAAGGCTAAGCAACAAAGAAACAGGAAAGAAATGGGACTGAGGGGCAATGAAATAAATGGCCAGATAAAAAAGAAATAGTTATGAAAAGGTATAGGGAAGGAATAAAATAGATATAAAACAACTATGGGAGGGAATGAAACACATTTCATAATGCTTGCCCTACATTTCTCATTTCATAAAAAACCTAGGCAGTGTCCAAAAAGTTGTGCAGGCACTTGCCCAGACTTTTTCATAAACAATGGTTGATACTAGTGTTTTTAGGATAAAATCTATGAAGAGGATCCCACTACAGAAGGAGTGTTGTACTGTCCTATCATTGTGGGCAGTGACAAGACAACCGTCTCTGTTGCAACTGGCCACGTCAAGTACCACCCATTTTACATCTCTGGTGGCAACCTCTTCAACACAGTTCATCGCGCACACCGTAACGCCGTCGTGCCTGCTGGTTTCTTAGCGATCCCCAAAGGTTTGTAAAATATGACTGCCAATCTTTCATAACTAATGACATTGCCAGGTGACCGAAAGTATGATAATGACCCTGCCTTTCGCAAGTTCAAGCGGCAGTTGTACCATGACTCGATCGCAGCCATCCTGAAGACATTCCGTCCAGGGATGATCAAACCTGTGGTCTGCCACTGCCCTGATGGCCATTTTCGGCGTGTGATCTATGACCTTGCTGCCTACATCGCCGATTACCCCGAGCAGGTTTACCTTGCCAGAATTGTTCAAAATTGGTGTCCAAAGTGCATTCATTTTATAGAAACTTGAAGCTTTAATTAAATCCCTAAACAGATGCACAGCTCTTCCAACAAACTTAGATGGGTTGGCGAATAGCTGCTCACGACGATTCATGGAAGGGCTCATCAATGAGCTCAATTCGAAAAGATTATGGGATGAGTATGGTATTGATGATGACATTACCGTGAGTTTCTCTCATCTTCAACAAACAAAGATCCATTATTATCACTCTACAGCCATTTACCTTTCACTTTCCACATGCTGACATCCACGAAATGCTGTCAGCAGATCTACTTCATCAATTGATCAAGGGTACGTTCAAAGACCATTTAGTCCAATGGGTCAGCGATTACCTCTACCTCGAACACGGCGAAGCTCAGGCTAATGAGATTTTGAATGACATTGACCGCCGGTTGGTACCTTCTTCCTTCCCACTGTTGAGATTGCTCTGAAACCTGTCAAGTATTGCAGCAGCACCATTATTTTCAGGACTTCGCCGCTTTCCGCATGGTCACCAGTTCAAGCAGTGGACGGGTGATGACTCAAAGGCTCTCATGAAGGTAAAATATTTTTCGTTAGGTATTGTCTGATCACTTAAAACAAAAATAGGTTTACCTTCCAGCCATCTCGGGATATGTACCCCCCGAAATGGTGCAGTGTATCAGCGCATTTTTGGATGCCTGCTACATTGCCCGTCGAGCCGACATCACTCAAGAATCACTCACCACGCTCCAAATGGCCATTGAGAGGTTTCACACGCACCGTGAAATTTTCCGTACATGCAGTGTTCAACCCACTGGCTTCAACCTCCCCCGACAGCACTCTCTTGTCCACCTCATCCACCAAATCCAGGAGTTTGGTGCTCCTGGCGGGCTATGCTCATCAATCACTGAATCCCGCCACATTACCGCTGTCAAATGGCCTTGGCATCATTCAAACTGCTACGAAGCGTTGGGGCAGATGCTGCTTACCAATCAACAGCTGGACAAGCTCCTTCAAGCATGCGCGGATTTCGTCGAGCATCAGATGCTTCCCCCTTCCCATTTTCCACCTCCAAAACCTATCATACCCCTCAGCGACGATGATGAGGACACTGGCATCATCGACGAGTACGTGACTGGGAATGTTGCACTGGCAAGAACCCGAAGTAAGTTTTTTTTCAATCTTTACTACTTTGCTGTTACTAATCCATACTTTCTAGTACAAAATTATCCACGCCGCCTCGCTGAGTTGGCCAACCACATCGGCTGCCCTCCACTTGTTGAACTTACCCGATGTTTCCTCTATGACCAACTCCACACAGATGACGGCACCTCATCAGCCGACATACCCATTCAGCAATGCCCATATCCAACAGGCAGGGTCTCTGTCTTCCACTCTGCTGTTGCCACCTTCTATGCACCAAGTGACGAGTCAGGCATCCGGGGCATGTGAACCAAGCGTAGATGGTCCACTCCATCTTGGCGCAAGCACGGCCCATGGCGCGATTGTGCATTAGTTGTTGAGGACCAAGACAAGCCAGGCATGAAGGGGATGAGCGTGGTCCACGTGAAACTTCTCTTTCATTTGAGTATGATGGGAAGACGTATCCGTGTGCGCTTGTTGATTGGTTCAAACATGTGGGCGCGTCACCCGATCCAGAAACAGGGATGTGGAAGGTACAACCTGAGACATACCAAATGGTCAGTGTATCGTCTCCATTCTCCACCTGGACACTTTCCTCCATAGTGCACATCTTTTACCTGTTTTCGGGCGGGATGTTCTCCCCTTTGACTTTCACTTTTCTTATTCACTTGATGCATTTGAATCTTACTACGTTAACAAATATGCAGATCATCATTCTCACGAGATTTGCTTCTAACACTACCATTGTAATAACTCCTTTAGCTTGTAGAAATTTACCTTGATTTGAGGTTTTGGCTGAATCGGGGTAGTTGTCAAAATTTGGCCTGGGTTGGGATTGAACTTGGGAGGGTTGGCAGATTTTTTCATGTTTGGCAAGCAGCTCAAATGCGCCAAACCTCACAAGTGCCGCCAAACAATGTGCTATCTTGCTGATGCACTTGCAGTCCGGAAAGAGTGGTCCTGCGCAGGAGACGAAATCGGTTTTTGCTAGTTGCTGCTACCTTCCGATGTCAACTTAGAGCAGATCTGCATGGGCAATACTGACTTCTATATTGAGCAGATGTGAGTTTTTTGGGCGACAAGATAGTATTGCTGCAAACGGTGCTTTGAGGATGGAAACCGAAATAGAAGTCCAAGTTGTAGAGTACTTGGCAGGTTCATTGGAGTAGAAGGCAGGAAACCACGAGCATTCTGTTGGTCAGATGGATTGGAACGAACTTAACCAGGATAGCAAGAGCTACCTGGCATCAAACGATGGCTTGGCATCAGATATCCTAGCAGTTTTGTCGGGCAGCAATCTTTGCCGTACGTCAGCTTCTCGCCTTCATATTTCATATGACAACCTACCCAGCTTGCCCATCAGTCATTACGCCACTGAGGAACCTTTGAGTCCTTTGAGGGTACATTCCAGCTGGCCTTGCGATCTTTGAATGATCAGTATATCAGTTGAGATGAGTCAATTTGGAGTCAATGAAGATGACACCACCTGATATTATAACCTAATTATCCACCTCTCACGTCTTAACCCAGCCCTCCCCCTCATGCTCACACTCCATATCAGGCTGTCACTAGTCCTGGTATATGCTTTTCTCCTTTTGGTACCCTCATCCATGTTGCGTGTGGGTTAAGTAGAAGATAAACCATTGTTTGTTATGTTGATTCCTGGCTAACATAGTAGGTTACAAACTCTGGAACTTCTGAGGTACTGGAATTGATGGTGTCTTCAAGATAAAAACGTAGCAACACACCCTACAGTGGTCACTTACCGCGAATAAGTAACTCCGTGGGACAGCCTAAGCCGGTAAGTTTTATCCATGCAAAGCACAGCCTGATGAATTGTGATAGAACCAGTCAGTCGGATTGGTATACTCGAATATTGTGTTTGGAACAATGTTTACCTTTGCAACGAACCATTGCACCTTGTACTGGCCTCAGATTTGTGCATAGAGGTACTATCACGTGCCTAGTTTTGCAAGTCACCTAGTTTTGCAAATCAGTCTCTAACTTTACAACACATACAATCTACACTCTGAAAATATTTGAGAGGGTGTATATCTATGTATCAAGTGCGACTATATTTTTTTATTTGAAGAAATTGGATGGAAAAATGCCACAGGCTGCAATATATACCAAAATCCCGCACTTCCCCACCATGTTGCCTGCATAAAATATTCTAATTCCAACAGAGCGCTCTCATTATTTTAAGGGATTGAGCTAAATACATATAGTAGACATTCCATAACTTTTTGAGAGCATCTGTGCTGTCCACAGATGAACAAGGCATCCCAACAGTCGAGCATGACAAGTTAAAGCAGGCACTTCAAACTCCGATGTGTGTTCGACAAGAATTCGCACCACATGAGGTTAGTGTTGCTGCAAGGGAAGGTGAAGGTCACCTTGAGTTAACTTGATGTGACCTCAAGGTATTTTCTAGATTAGGAAAACGAAAGAGAATCAGCTTGCAGCAAGTTTGCAGCCACGTAGAATCATAACTATATCATGTAGTATTGTAACATACATCTGAGTACTGGTCAACAGAGGGTCCCTGTGGTTGACTGAGGTGACCTGTCAACTAAATATGCACGTGGCGAGCCAAGAAGTAATTTTAGGGTATTGAGTTGACGAGCAATTGACAAGTTACGAAAAAATCATCCATACAGAGGGGCGAAACATGGGGTACATAGATCTCCTCCTCAACAAACAGCCATTTGTCATTGCAGTCCGTCCTTTCTGAAGCAGATGTGAATCTGAGAATTTGAAGCTTCTCCATCAATTCCGGTGCAAGGTTGTTTCGGCGAAGGGTGTCAGTTTCTTTGCTTTACAAGAACATGCACTCTGATGGAGCAGAGGATGCTTGAACTGGAAAAACATCCAATGTGATGTGGTACATTGTCTTCTTCTTTTTATTCACCTGATAGTGCCATAGCAGCATCGTTCAATTGATCAAATTGAAAAACATGAAACTAGGCATTATTGGTTCCAGAGTAAATCTAGAAATGAGATTCAAAAAATTGATTGGCACGGTGGAGTGCCTATGTTCAGCATCGAGCAACAAGTTTGGGTGCATGGAATGACAAAGCTCGTCACAAGAAAGGCTGAGTGGCCCGGCCGTGCTGCTGGCCTATGAGAATTTTTTCCCGAAGTGGCACATTTACCTTGATGCACCTTGACGCTCCTTGACGTTGACAATTTCCTTTTGCATCGCCTCAAGGTGACCTTGCCTTCAAGGCACCTTTCCTTGCGGCAACACTACGCACAACTGACCTTCTTGTGTGACACAAGTGTGACGAAATTTGCAAAACTAGGTGACTTTCTCTTTTGCATCGGCACCTCACTTAACCTCAGTTAAATACGAAAAAACCACCATTGTGGAAGTGCGTCATGTTCCATTCACGACGCCTTCTGTATTTTGAGTTTTCGCTTCTGTCTCATAATTTTTACATTTTATATTGTCTTTTGTATTTTAACCATTCTTTGCTGAAAGTCCAAAGCGAAGGAAACATGTATTTTCTTACAGATCAAGAAGAATGTAGCCGAACAGCGACTTCTGGTACTTGGAGAAGATGTCAAACACACTCGCTAGTTGCTCAACAACACACACCTTTCTTCAAACTTCGAAGTGGACTTGAGGTTTTCTTATGTATTCGTACGCTTAACTTTATTTTCTTTTATTTTTATTTTTTCTTTGCTTTTTTTTTACTTATGACAGAACCCTTTTCACTCAACGCGTTTTCTGACGGTTAGACAGTAGGGTAGTCTCTCGTAGACAGACCACAATACAAGTGAATTTTTTATGTGTTGTATGGTTCACGTTGTATGTGGTCTGTTTCATATCACGCCCCCCGAACCGTGTCAGAAAGTTGTTATGTAATCTTCGGACTTTGAAAGCTCGTCGCGTCAACAGTTCTTTCATTGTCGACACGACATTCAATGATTTCCAACATTATTCTTCTTAAAACTCGATTAATTTACCTCTTGAATGGATTGAAACTCTGAATATGGCCACAAGAGCCCACTGGCAGGACCCTATCGGCCTGGAAACCATACAAATCATCATGAAGAAGATTATACCAACATGGACAGACGGCCTGCACCTGGTCCAGCTTGAACTCGTTTCTGCAATCCGCGACGGTCGAGATATCCTCTGCTGCATCGCAACTGGCGACGGAAAATCAGCAGCCTTTGCTGTTCCTGGTCTTGTTCTCCTCGAATACAATGCACATCTGGACGCATATCCCGCTGGACTTCCTACCAGAAAAAGACCCATCGGTGTTGTAATCACACCAACAAAGGGACTAGCCAACAATATCGTACATTTCCTACCTTTTTTCTATGTTGTGCGCTCACCGCTTTCTAGGTTTTCGAACTGTCAAAACTGAATGTCTCCGCTGTCTCGTATTGCCACGAAACTTTTTCTTGTAAGATCGGACATTTCGGACGCTTTCTTCCATCGAGGTCGATTTTTCAATGAAAACTGAATTGAATTTGTAGTGATGGGGAGCGTTGTAAAGCTATAAACGCGTCAAGAGTAGGAGGGACAACTGCAATATTGACGCGACGCGGTTTCAAAGTCCGAAGATTACATAACAACTTTCTGACACGGTTCGGGGGGCGTGATATGCACAGGACTAACAGTAGGGTTGAGCGTCAATGTTAGGAATGTCCGCACTGAGGCAGGCAGTCGTGCACGGAAATAGACCTCTTCCTACATTGTAAGTTCCCCGAGTCATCCCTAGCTTGAAGGACTTGCGGCGAGAGGAGGGAGCGATGTCGGATTCGTTTTATTCTTTGGACACTTTTTCTTGTTGGTTATTTTTTTATTTTTAGACGCTTTCTGTTTATTTTGGCCAGACTGCACGAGAGAACGTGTGTAGGTCTCATGATCATTTGTAAAGTATATATAGGTTCATCGCGTCTTTTGAAATCGATTCCTCCCCCCCATCCAATACTCAAGTACTCTTAAGTTTTCAAGTCTTTACTTTTTCACTGTCGACGTGTTCTGTCCTTTTTGACAACAACTCATATCGAAAATGTCTGTGCTGATAGCTCTCATGTGTGTTCAAGACGCATATAGTCCACTAGACATGCACAAGTTTATACGGAGTTTAAACGGAGACGTTGGGCGCGCTCACACGCCACTCACGCTAAGCGCTCAGTCTTCTTTTCTTTGATCCCCATTCCTTTCGTACTTCATCCCCCTTATTTTTCTGTGGCAGACGACCAGTGACCCCTCCCTGTCCTTGAACTTACGTTCTTCCACACCGTCTTGAAACCAGAGATCAGGCCTTTCCATTGGTCAAAGAATTGAGAAGAACGGCTCACTTCTTAGAGCACTGTGAAGGTTTGATCTAAATATTTGCAAAACAGGGTCAGTGATAGTAGAGGCAGCTGACGGCAAAAGCCTGAAACCGTGTGAAAAAGAGTCTTTTCGGACCCTCAAATGATATCACGATGACCTTCAACCCTTCTAGCGCTTCAACCTAAAAGGCCAAAATCTGGCAGCCCCAAGGACAAGGTTGTACGTACTCGGTGTCACTTTTCTGAATCGCGATGATGAGCAAAAGCCCCGAGAGGTTCATGCGACCTCAGGCTGGCCCCAGCCCCCCAAGATTTAACAGTCCCTAGAAATAGGGTCTACTTTGTCAGAGAAGCAAGTGATGTTTTTGAGTACGTGGCTTTGCTCCGTTTTCTTGCTCCAAAATGCGAAAGATTTTAGTACGAATCTAGACTTATGATGACGAAGTTAAGCCGCTTTCACGGCTATCGGTGCCACAATCTCAGGCGGCTACCTTGGCGGGGTTTTCCCATCAAGGATGGCACAGCTGCCGAAATTCTGGTTTACTTCAACTGTCTGCGACGCTTCCAAATTTGAGACGACATTGACGAGTCCCCTGCCTCATCCGAACCCATGTGTCTGTTGTCAACACCACCCCCGGGTCACTAAGGCCTACTTTCTTACCAAAGAACAGTACAGAAGCGTCGAGGCCTAACTACTTGTCAGCGACTCTCGGCAGTCGGAGGAAACTAGTACGTTTGTTGAATGCTACGTTACAGTTAGTGAAAAAAGCGGCCGACCTACAGTCCGAGTCAATGCCACCGCGACGATGAGCCAACAATAACCGAAACAACTTGAACGCCTTGTCCGTGGGTTCTTAGTTTGGCCACATATATCAGTCACTATGTCACGTACCAAACGTAGTAGCCGGACATGACAATGACTCGTAATGAACGGGCCAGCCGGTCCCGGCCGGACTTTCCAAAACATCCCTTTACCAACAGACCAGCCGGATGCATACAAATGGCTTGCGGGCACGGCGTCTCTTGCCGCGGCAGCTACCTACGGCAGCCTTCTGGGTGTCCTGTCGGCATCACACCATAGTTCCCCAATCTTTACTAGAACAACTGTAATACTGTTACCTGCTTTGATGTTGTACTGTTTGCTTCTATCAGTAGTAGCTAATTGTAAACCTCCACCCTAAGCTACTTGCTCTACCACACAGCTGCTGGTCAGCAAAGCATGCTGTATATACCCCAACCTGCTCCAATGGTAAATTACCTGTGTCCATAATATTAATCAATGACATCTATTGAAATTGAATATGTCAACTCTGGTTAAGCATTTGATTGACTCCAATGGGGTGGTTATTTCAACTCCCATGGGGCATTTGATTCACTCTGGCAGAGAATTTACATCTGAGTATGTCAACCACCATGGGCATTTAAATTTGACTATTTTGACTCCATGAAGAATTTGATTGACTTGAGGGGTTATTATGTTTAATTGCAAATGTATTGCCAGAGTTGACATACTCAATTTCAAATGCCCTGGAGGAGTGAACCCAATGCCCCATGGGAGTCAACATATTTGATTTAAAATACCCTGTCAGAGTAAATAAAATGCCCTGGAGGAGTAAACTACATGCGCCGCGGGGGTCAACATATTTGACTCTAAATTTCATGACAGGGTGAATAAAATGCCCTGTCGGAGTGCCCTGTGAGAGAACATATTTAATTTTATATGCCCTGACAGCATGAATAAAATGCCGAGTGAATTAAATGGCTGCGGGGTCAACATATTTTATTTTAAATTCGCCGACAGGGTCAATAAAATGCCCCGTCGGAGTAAATAAACTGCCCCGCGGGAGTTAACATATTTAATTTTAAAAGCCCCGACGGCGTAAATAAAATGCTCCGTCGGGGTGAATTAAATCGCCGCGGGGTCAAAATATTTGATTTTAAATTCGCCGACGGGGTCAATAAAATGCTCCGTCGGAGTGAATAAACTGCCCTGCAGAAGTTAACATATTTAATTTTAAATGCCTCAATGGAGTGAATTAAATACCCCATGAAAGTCAATCAACTGTCTCCCACCCAATTCAAATTTTATATTCCCCATCGGAGTGTATTGAATGCTTTGCAGGAGTCAACATATTTAATTTTACATGCCCCGACAGAGTCAATGAAATGCCCCGCCGGAGTTGTGGGGGAAAAAAATGAGCTGTACTGTTATAGCTTCTCAATACATCTTTCCAGCATACTACAACTGTTGTAAAATAGGTTCAAGTTTACTTTGGAAAAGAATTTTGGCACATCAGTATTTCTACACTCCGCTTGTCACGACTTGTTTCGACTCGTACGAGTCCAAACGAGTCCAAACGAGCCACAAGTCACAAGTTGACAAGTAGATCCAAAAATCTGACAAGTTGGGTCGCGAAATTAACTGACAAGTTCTCACAAGCTGACAAGTTGAGAAAAGTTACAGCCTAATTTTCGGCTTTCAATAACACAGGGTAGCATTATCAAATTATTGTATAATATTAGCAGGATATACTTCAATGAATAGGGACAACAAATGCTCGCTCCAACTACAGATAATACCTCACGCCACTAGCTGTTGCTGCCAACCCCTCCTCCATCTTGCCGTTGCAGGCTGGTCGTGAGATCTCCGAATCATTATATTTGGTAGGGCCAGTCAGAGAGATCAGGTGTATGACGAGGTCCTGTATATCGAGTGCAACACGGGAGGTTCTAGACACAAAGGTGCGTCAGAAAGGTGGAGGCGAGGAGCGGGACAAGTGGAACGACGAGATTGGAGGGTAAATTGAAGGAAAGAGGTAGCGAACGAAAGTGAAAGTGCAGTTGGAGGATCATGCTAGTGGGAGACAAAAGCGAAAGCAATACCATCAACACCGAAACGGAGACAGTAGAAGGAGGTTGATGACGGGAAAGGACACCGACCTGCATGGAGTCTGGAGGCACGTAAAGTCGACCTTTAGCTTGAGTACCTGCAGCCAAAGTTGGGTCGAAGGTTTAGCTTGCCGCGTACTGGACTATGGCGGTGGAAGATGAAGGAGTATGTCAAAGATGCTTCGCATTGGCCACTCACAGTGCATCTTTCCGTTTCCAAAATGCGAGGTCGTCCACGTCTACGGGCGTAGAGCCTAGCAAGTAATCGGACTTGCGGAAGGGAGTAAGATGCCTGATCGAGGGACATATAATCGTCTGGTGTTTGGTCGAGATGACGAGGGGGTGGGCACCTTGTGGGAGGTGGTCAAAAGCACCAATGATTCGCGCTGGAAGAAAGTCGATGAACCCGGGTGGTTGGAGTGCCGACGGGTCTGCGGCTGCTAAGTAGTCGGCAACTGTAGCCCTCAAGTAATTGGAGTGGGGGCCTCGTATTCATACCTGGTCTTGCGTGAGCCGGCAGGAATTAGTGATAATCACAGTCAAGCTCACGTACCCCTCATCAGCGCCCTTAGCGGAGAATTGTGCAGACATAGTCGTTTGACGCGAGGACAAGATCAAAGGGGGTGTTGGGAGACGTTAGCACACCATGCACAATTCACGTATCTTAGTTACGGATGATTACATAAGCAAGTCGAACCATTTTCCTTTTCCTTCCAAAGACGTTCCTGCTTTCCCCTATTCCCCCCTACAGCTCAGACCCCTTCCCACTCATGCAGTGATCGCGCTTTGACCATGCTCGTAAATTCCGCAATCCCATTGACTTAAAGCCGCACTGCCCTCCACTGATAAACCCACAAGACCTCCTGCACAATTCGAACTCGCATGGGCCATTGACCCATATTCCAGTTCCACGCTATGCTCCGATGTGATCTCTGCAGGTGGGATGTACCGCAAGCGTATCCGCTCCAACCCCAATTGGCATAACGAATACGTGCGCTACGACGCTGTGTTTGATTCGGAGCTCCGGGCATGATGATTTGGGTGCGTCCTTTTCTTTTCATTCAATTCTGAGAGTTGTCTCATACACTCTTATTCACTGGCTAATCCCTGTAGGTGGTAGTCCTGAATCAGAGACACACTTTTGGGTTGTATAGCCCAAGTCGAAAGAAATGGGAGCCGTAGTCTACAAGTTATCTCGCTGACCATCTCACATGTAATATCTACAAGACTAAATGTAATTGTACTAAGATAGGTAATTCTGCAATTGTTCTGGCAGTAACTTGTCGACTTGCGAGCTTTTTTCAGCTTGTGACTTGTCAACAAGCTGTCAGCTGCAAAAAGTCGCGAAAAGCCGACAAGTAATCTGTAGGTTTGCTGATGCACATGGTGGAGAAATGAGGTTGAATGCATGAAATATCTCGCAACATGATATTGTTGACTTTTCTGTATACTTTGCTACCAAATCTCAACATCTGAGCCTTTCTTATACATAGTTAACATATGGCAGAATATATATCCCCTGCTCCGAAGCAGTTTTCTGATGGTTTGGGGGAGCTGGAGCTTGAAAGGGTGAAAATATGACTCTAAACATGAAACCACATTCTTTCTTATTTCCTTTCACTATCTAAATCTTGTTGAAATGCTCCCATACTTTCCCCAAATATAGCCTACATACTTTAGAATCAATTCAGATAGGTGGGGGAAGCAGTTGTGAGGGAAGAAAAAAAAATATAACTTGATGTATGCAAAATGGCATGTTGTGCAACTGGTTTGTATAAAGATTCATGCACCAAATAGCTCTTTCCGAGGTCTGTTCACAAAAACTTCTTCAATCACTGAGAAAACTATTCCAAATGATTCTATTCCTTTCTGGGATCCCCCCAATGTCTTTGTTTTGTTGGCGCATTGCATCGCCAATGAGCGCGGTGCAGTGTGTAGTTTCAGATGGTGTGTGAATAATGCGCTCCTTCCATATTAGGTTGCCGCTGGCCCATATTTGGTAAGGTGGGCTGCCAGAGTTGTTCTACTTCTAAAAACTAAATGGTGCACACATCAACTATCTGACCTCCAATTCAGTGGATCTTTCTTTTGTATTATGAGGATTTGTCATGGCTACTAGCAGGACCTTTCATCAATATTGTGTGTTGATTTCTTGACAATATATTTCTTGTTTCTGCAAATCACATATTCCAAGCCATTGCATGTTTCAGTTCACATGGATGGATGATCTGGGCACCAGCTTAAAAATGCTGTAGTGGATTGACTCCTCTATCTTGAATAAATGCTTCGCCAGAGCTGACATATTGAATTTTGAATGCCCCGTAGGAGTCAATCAAATGCCCCGCGGGAGTCAACATTTTGAATTCTCAATTCCCTGTCAGTGTCAATCAAATGCTCTGCCACAGTCAATAAAGTGCTCTGCTAACTTGACGTATTCAAGATCATGCCACAGATGACCATATTGTGGAGGTCATGTTTTCAATTTCAATGTCAAACACCCTGATGGGGCCATTGCCGACAGTGCCTTCAATCTCAACCTCAAACACCCTGATGGCAACATCCTCTGTGGTGCTTTCAATTTTAATGACAAACACCCCAACGGAGACATCCCCCGCGGCACCTTCAATTTCAATGTCAAACACCCCGACGGTGATATCCCCTGCAGCGCCTTCAATCTCAACCTCAAACACCCCGATGGTGACATCCCCCCGCAGCACCTTCAATTTCAATGTCAAACACCCCGATGGTGACATCCCCTGTGGCACCTTCAATTTCAATGTCAAACACCCTGATGGTGATATCCCCCGCGGCGCCTTCAATCTCAACCTCAAACACCCCGACGGTGACATCCTCTGTGGCACTTTCAATCTCAACCTCAAACACCCCGACGGTGACATCCCCCACGGCACCTTCAATTTCAATGTCAAACACCCCGACGGTGATATCCCCCGCAGCACCTTCAATCTCAACCTCAAACACCCCGACGGCGACATCCTCCACGGCGCTTTCAATCTCAACCTCAAACACCCCGACGGTGACATCCCCTGCGGCACCTTCAATTTCAATGTCAAACACCCCAATGGAAACATCCCCTGTGGCGCCTTCAATCTCAATGTCAAACACCCTGACAGAGACATCCCCAACAGAACCATCAATTCCAGTTTGACACCCCAATGGAGCCACAAATGAGTAGACAAGGTGTGAGTAGCTAAATGAAAAGCTTTCATTTCTTAACTACAAGGTGAGTGTTTCCCTGTTGGGACAAAATTCAGTTTTTGGTTTATATGGAGACTATCTTGCAGGAGTTGGATGAGATAAAGATTACAGCGCTTCCACTTAGTAATGAGATTCCATGTTTTTTTTTCATGGTTGCCTTATATAGAATTTGTATAGATTTGAGCTTTGTCGCTTTGTTTCATCACCTCACCTGCGTTATGGGCAATCGTAAAATCAGTAGGGATCTCAAAGAATGCGCTCTTCGGCTCTGGGAACTTGGACACGACCTCGAATTCATCTCTGAAAGTCTCTGTATCTCTCGGGCTAGCATGTTCCGGTGGCGCAGCATCTTTGATGAATTTAGCTCTGTCAACCGGCCACCCTCTCCATTGCTCGGAAGGCCGAAGATCATCATTCGTGCTGTCATGACGGCTATCAAGGAGGTATACCACAATGAAGCGGATGCGTATCTTGACGAACTCATCTGGTGGCTCGCGATTCACCATGACATTGTCATCTCACGCAGCGCGCTCCACAAGAACCTCGAAGCGGCAGGTCTTACACGAAAACTTCTTCACAAGATCACGAAGGAACGCGACGAGGAAACGAGAGCTGAATATATGGCTGTGATCCAAGATTGTACAGGTGGACAGGGCATAGAGCTGGTTTTTATTGATGAATTCAGCAAGAATGACCATGACACTGCACATCGCTATGGACGCGCACCTTCTGGACAACGTGCCGATTTCATTGACAACTTCGTCCGTGGTGATAGGTACTCAACGGTTGCGGCACTTACCATCAGCAGCTATGATGCGATACGGACTGTCCTGGGATCATTTGACAGTGAGCAATTTCGCGATTACATTGTCGAGCAGGTGGTGCGTGGAAATCCTTTACCTTTTTTCAGGTACTGACATTCAAATAGCTTCCCGGAATGAACCCCTGGCCTGGAGAACAGAGTGTCATGGTAATGGACAACTGCCGAATCCATCATAACGCCGAGTTGGTCGATCTTGTCAATGCTGCAGGTGCGAGGCTTCCCTGAAATGTTCTTTCCTCATTCACAGAATACATAAAGGGTGTCTCCTAATCTACCTTCCTCCATATTCACCAGACCTCAATCCCATTGAGGAATCCTTCAGTACTTGTATGTTCATGGGCTATTTTGGACTATTCAGCTCTAATTTTATATAGTAAAAGCCTATCTTTGGCAACATGGCCTTGAAATTCGAGCAAACGACAACCCTGAGATGGCGTTGATGGAAGCATGTGGGTGTGTTACTGCAGGAATGGCAGATAATTGGTTTAGGCATGCTGGGTACATGTGGAACGCATGATTGTCATTGTTCACAGAACGTATGGTACAGAACACAATGTAATGGTACAAGCAGAACAAGAGTCCACGGAATGGGAGTCCATTGATCAAGAAAGTAGCTATAACAACTCACGAACCATGCTCAAACCGTATCCCATTTCCCTGCCCTCACGTCGGTGACAAACAACTTGTGCTTGGTGATGAAATCATCCCAAGACAGCTTGGTGAAACCGGCGTGACCTTGCCAATCCTCACGGTCCAGCTTCTCCACACGTCTATCCCCAGGCTGCACCTTGAGTTTTGATAGACATGCACGATCCTCATCGTCAATCCCATAGTGATCACAGAATTCATCAAGGGAGACAGGTCGTGGAAGCACAATCTTGAGTGGAGAAGTCGGCGCGGATCCAGGGGCTATGTCGCGTGCAACACCCGGAGTGTGAGGTCGAGTTCCCAAAGGGTTCGGGTTGAGGTTGGGCCCAGCAGTGAGAGGAGGGGCTGGGGCATTTGGGTATGGTCCAGGAACATGGCCGTGCATGGGAGGGATTGGATATGGGGCAGCGTTTGGTTCGTTACCAGGGGGTGGATAAAAAGGGTAAGGATATGGGGGTGGGAAGTAAGGAGGAAAGCCGCCGAAAGGGTAGAACCCTTGGTTGGGTGCGAAATGAGGGACAGCCACGGGAGCTTGGGGAGCGACTGGCAACATGGTAGCTTCTCTCGCCTTTGTTGGGATGCGGAGCCTCTGAGATTCGGAAAAATGAACACTATTGGGAGGTGCATCAAAGGTTGCAGTTCCCTTAGCCTAGAAAGGAACGTGAGTTCGTGATACTGAAGAACAACGTGGTATATGCGCACGATATGACTTGCCCACACCTGCAACCTCAATGTCGTCAACTCCCATAAGCCATCAGGTCCCGAAGAATAGACACGCTTGTCTGGGAAGCGCATATCCGTGCCGATAGGATAGTTGATGCGAAGTTTGTCAAGAATGTCGGTTGTCCCCTCACAAACTGCAAGCTGCAACAGTTTCCTTCAGCTGGCAATACAACAGTGAGAACATAATACTCACCTGCTGCTCTCGGATTGTTGATCCCAAAGGCCCTTCCTTGAATTCTTCCCGCTCGAGATCAACACCTCTTTTACCAGCCACAACATCTGCTGGCTGTCATCGAGTATGAACAGAAAATGCATGTAGAGAAAGAGATAACAACTCACGTTTGCGGCAACCCTCATGAGGGGAGGGAGCGATAAGATGATTGTTGTGTCCTTTTTCTTCTGGCTCAAGTCTGCGAGTTTGTCGATGAGTGCGTGAAACCCGTCCTCTGTCGAGAGCGGCCGTTTCCTGTCATTTGCGGGCACCTGTAGCTTCCAAAAAAGTTGGTGATGATTGATTGATGTGATAGTAGGCGCATAGTGGCCCTCGGCGCAACAGGATGCGAGTGACTGCAGAAATTCAATGCGGGTGGTGTCGAGGTTGAAAAAGAATGGTCGGCGAGATAATGGCGTCGGCTTCTCTTTGAGAGTGCGCGGGGCGGTGATGATCTCGATGTATGCTGTTATCTTGGGATGGGTCTTCAGTTTCTTTGTGGGTGGTTCATTCTCTTTCTCGGCTAGCTGGTCTTCATTGTCGGATGTGTCGTCACTTGAGATTTCATTGGTAGTTGATGAAGTAGCTGTCTTTGGGTCGGTCGTCGTCTTCAAGGCGAGTCGTGAAGCCTTCCTCTTTTCCTTCCTTGCCTTTTCCTTACGCTTCTTTTCCTCCAGCGCAGGCGTCAACGTGAACCATTTTGCATCTGCAGGACGAGTGAGCTTTGAATGAACAGAATGTCAGTGACTCACGTTGAGGATCTCGAGCAATTTGGCGGATATCTTCATCTATTCCTTGAATCTCGTCGTTTACGTCGCCGCCCATGGTGAAAGGAGTGGTGGTGGTGGTTGTAACGTTGAAAGATGAGCAATTGCGAAGTGTGTCACACTATTTTCTAAATATGGTAACCACGAAAAAAAAACACGGAATCTCATTACTAAGTGGAAGCGCTGTAAGATACATTATGCTACAGATCTAGATGGATATAAGTAAGGGGAGAGAGGCCCCAGTTAAATTTTTTTGTAGTTCCATCAGGATGGGCTGAGAGCCCGTCGGGACGTGGTCAGAGCCCGTCGGTTGAAAAAGTGGTTCCGCCGCGGGAGCGTAAACCCTGCCAGGGTCAGAAACCGGCCGCTTCGTTGCCAATGGAACAATGGCAATCAAACCGGCCGCCCCGGCTGACCCGTTCACTACGACTGATTGTCACGTCCGGCTGTTCCGTTGTTATTGGACCCATGTGACTGAACTAACTAGTTTGGCATTCTGTTGTATGTATACCCTCATCATTCAACGACCACCCGATGACGTGATTGGTCCAGCCCTATAGGTAATCGATTTCAGGCGGTACTAAGAAATTCGAGCTCCCCAAGGTCAGCGCCGTTAAGTTTCGGAAGGATTCAATTGTGATGGGATGACCAACGAACAGCGACTTCAGGGTCCATAGTCCTGCTTCGCACAGGCGATTGAACTCCTGGATGTCATGCCGACATACTATAGGGCTGTTTCTAGGAGGCGTAAGGAAGGAAGGAAGTCGTGGCTTTGGGGGCAAGTCACCTTTATAACGTGCCACTAGAGCTGCAAACTTATTAATTGTCAGGACCGTAAGCTCTTTGAGCTGACATGGAGGATTTTGTCTGCCAAACTGTTCCGCCATACACGATGAGGCACAAAACGCCCAGCTAGTGGTTAGTGGACTAGTACTGTTGTGAATCAATCTCAGATGTTGGCAGACTCACAGGCGAACAATTTGATGTTCAGCCTCTTTGAATGAGGGCAAACGATACTTGGACATACATCATTTAAATGACCTTTTATCAGGTGTCCTTTTTATTGTTAGACGTGTTCGAACTCACCCAGGAGGGGACAGTAGCATGTCAAAATTTTGGGACCCCAAAGTCCCCCAGGACTTCAAGCCAACCTGCAGGTGAGTGACGGATCTTAAAGCCTCTTGTTCCGTGGAGTCGGTCTTGAGAGCACGTGGCATACTTATGACGGGCGGTTGGGCAGAGAAATCTGCACACTCCGGTCCATTTCGGGGCGGCAATAAACGCCCGCTTGACATGAGGCGTACCAAACAAAGCACCTCATGAATGATTATTGCTTGGCTTCAGGGTTTCCTCCACACCCCACATCTTTGCCTCCTTTGCCTCCTGATCGAAGCACGCCAGCCCAACAAAGAAGAAAGAAATCGACGAGACCAAGAAGGGGACCGAAAATGTTTACCCATCAAGAGTCTAGATGCCTGAGAGAAGACTCAGAAGAGGGTAACCTTCCGCTGCCCGGTTCCCAGGAAGGTAACGGGCATTTGTTCGACATTCGATTCACATCCCCTCACGCAATCCGCCTGCTGTTACTTCAAGGTCTGTTGGACGCCAAAGCGACCGCAGCTAAGACCATCAGCGGTCTCGCGTTCACAGTACACGAACCTGGCGAGAGTGGGGCGGCAGAAGAACTACAAGACTGGGAATCGGTCTCGATGGACGTGGCTCACGTGAGTCAGTTTTGAAGGCTGTAGAAATTAGAGAGTTCCGATCGCTGAGAACTGTATTAGGAATTCAAAGACTATGTTGGAGTTGTGTTGGGGAATACTACAGTCGCGCCGGTAACTGAAATTATGATGGATCATGGCATCATCAATAACATCCACTAGGAAGGAATATCTCAAGAAAATACGAAGATTTTACCATCCTTACTGAAAGTCGCCGATGCCTTGGCAATGAGCACAGTGATTAAAACGCAGAATCCGAAGGATTGGTTAGACGCGAATATCAAGATAATTTGTGAGATTGCGAACGGCCCATATCCCGATCTTGATGTGCACCATGCACGCATCCAGAACTCCCTTTTCCCCGTAAGCTCACGTTAATTTCATTGAGGTCATTGGTTTGAAGTCGTTCAGCGTTTATATATTTACACTCTTGCATGTCTGAAATTTCTGCCATTACGTTTTAGGTATGTCCACCCCCACTGCCTTGATTTATCCTGATAGGCCGATCTCTACTCTCTATAGGAAACGCTTCGGGAAAAACGATTCGGCGGAACTGATGAACACATACACTCAGTGGAGTGCGCTCGATGAAATCAGCCGTTTGGCGCAATTTCGAACAACCGGAAGTTCTCTCTTGAGAATCCTTAAAAGATGTAGCGGCTTGGTATGTCCTCTTTGCATAATTTTATGTTACGAAAGCGATCGAACTAAATCTGGGTGCTTAGCCCTCCTCTGAAATCCTGAGGGGAATCGTTAACTTTGATCTTTGCGCGATCGGGGCACAAATCGTTGTGACGTTCCCTGACCGCCAGCGCATGTCGCCTTTATTAAATCCTAGGCATCCGCGCGAGGTACGGCAAAGTATTGTCGATCTTCTACAAGAGGTAATTCAGTTGTCCTGCCCGTCGTGGCGAGTCCAATCTCGTTCTTGACAGTATCGCCTTCATTCTTCAGCTGGTTGATCTGCGGGACCTAGAATGGCTTCGCTTCGCACTTTTGAGGCGTCTTTTGGATCTCTCGAAGAATGCCGGGCTCTACCCCTCCCGCCTGCTTCTCAAAGGCGTAAAGGTCACAAGCATTGATCATGTTGAAGAAGGAGGCTTCGGGAATATATGGATGGGACAACTCCAGGGAAAGTCTGTTGCAATCAAAGTTGTAGGCCGTAAACACAGCGCCGAAGCGGCAATCAAGGTATTGTGTCTGCGCAGCTGTCGTATTATTTGGTGCTAAAATATCACTATCAATAGGACTTTAGTCGAGAGGCGACGTTGTGGAGACAATTCCATCATCCAAACGTACTCCAATTATTTGGTGTGTTCCTTTGGGCCAAAGGTTCAGATCAGAATATATCCCTTATATCGCCATGGATGGAAAATGGGAACCTTACTCAATACCTTGAGAAATACCCACACGCAGATAAAATGCCTTTTGTATGTTGGGTCTCTTTCCGAGGCGTGCCTTCCACTAAAACTCTTGTAGATCTTGGATATCAGCCTTGGCCTAGAATATCTCCATACGTTTAGCCCTGCAGTTATTCACGGAGATCTCAAAGGCGTATGTTGTCCATCCTCATTGAACTTGTTTGTCGCTGAACTTGACTTTTGCAGACCAACATCCTCATTACCGGTTCTCGCAGGGCATGCGTTGCTGACTTTGGTCTCGGTACATTACAAGATCCCATAGGTTCCGAGAGGTTAACCTCTTCTGCTTTCAAGATGGGTCCCATCTTGTTTTTGGCTCCGGAATTGTTAGGATCTCTAGCAGAAGACATCCACAAGGACGAAACTGGTGAACCGACTGTTGGGCCATCGGATCAAAGGTTTCAGCCATGTGGGAAGACATTAGCCTCCGATATTTACGCCTTTGGTTGTGTTTGCTATCAAGTACGATCTTATTTTTGGCGGCCCAAACCGCTAACCCACGAGTGCGCAGGCATATTCGGGACATCCAAGATTTTATCGACTCTCCCTCTTTGATGCTATCATATCTGCACGCGAAAATCGGCCAGTACAGAAACCAACAGGGATGATGGAGACAGTGTGGTCATTAGTCCAGTCATGTTGGCAAGTGATCCCAACGAAGCGCCTCACGATCAAGGTCATTATTTCCTCCTTGAGGCAAAGCGACACCCGTGGAGTAGGCTCACTGCCGGCTTCATATCACATTAATCCGACAATCGCGCCAAATGTTACTCAACCCTCACACTCCGTTCCAATGGAAGGTACAACTTGGGGTCACCTCTTGCCCACATACTATTTGACTATTCGACGATTAGGTCACGTCGATCCTTGCAAAAACGGCGAGTTGACTTCAAGTCCCCTTTCAATGGCAGATACACCCCTCCCACAGCCAAATATCGGGAACTCAAGCGGCCGCGCTGCAACAGCTCCGCAAGTGCCACACAATGATCTTCGCGTTTTAGAGAAGGATATCGTTATTGCGTTCGCGTGATACCTTTTTGGCATTCTCGAAACTAACACTACTTGTCCACAGGTTAATGGGTCCAAGTGGGTCAGGAAAGAGCTCAGTGGGTATTCTTAACGCGTCCCCTGATTCCAATAACTCCGTTAAACTTCCAGTTCATCAACAAATTGATGGGACAATCTGTTGCGTACGTCAATGATTCGGTTGAATCTTGCACCCAAGAAGTGCAAGCATTCGTCTGCTTACACCCTGACGGTTCTGAACGCAAAATTGTTCTCATCGATACTCCCGGTTTTGACGATTCCGGACGCACTGATTATGAAATTCTCAAGATCATTACCGAATGGTTAGTGAAGACGTAAGTAATTTCATCAAGATGCATTAGCTGTGCCCAGTTTTCAATTGGACCTTGATAGTTACAAGCAGCGCATCAAGCTGTCCGGCATCATTCAGCTCTACAGTATTGCAGACGCTAGAATGCGGGGAACTCCTTTGAGAAACCTGAAGATGTTTGAGGAGCTGTGCGGCTCCGACGGGTTGGTGAACGTTATTCTTACGACTACGTTCTGGAGCCAAGTCACCCCCGATGTCGGTTCCCAACGCGAGGAACAACTCAAGTCCGAGTTTTGGGCAGAAATGATAAGACACGGCTGCAAGGTCGCGCGCTTCGATTCCTGGTCGTATGAGACTGCATGGAAAATCATCGATCTATTGAATGTCGCAGCTCCCCGTCGGCGCGCCTTGAAGCTCCAGATTGAGATTGTAGATGAAAAGAAAAACCTTTCGAAAACTTCAGCGTTCGGGGTACTTGTGCAGTGGTGGGACCACATTGCTCAGAAAATGAGGGGCATGTCGATAAAGGAGGTGATCCACGCAAAGAAGCAGCGAATGGCGTTGAAGGGGATGCGGTCTCCAAGTGAGGCTTTTATGAATGTGGTCTGGAGGGCGGATCGATGACTTGAACGTTTTGTTTTACACATTCGAAATATGTAGTGATTTTGGGGCAAAATAAGTAGCATATAAAGCATTCTAGGATCCATCATACTAGTAGCTCGGCACTCGAGGAAGAGCGTTCCTGCGCAACATAAATTCGACTGGGGTGATAATATAAAACAGACTTAATACTTACCGCCCCATGAGCGACAGAGCTGATCCCTGTCCACGCATTGCCTCAGTACCAGAACGATGGCATGTCAACGCCGTCCCACAATCACTGCCAGTGAGGCGCACCAAGAACAAGGCTGCCAGCATGGATAACAGCCTGAGAAGCTGTCGACTCGGACTTTCTTGCGATTTTCGAGTCCTGACAGTTGACACATGGCATGACGATACAGCCCTGTTGCCTCAAACCCTACCCGTCCTTGGTACAGGGTGCCCCAGCCTCCTGGCTGGGGCCTGCAATTATCGAGATTCGAACACATTCGTCTCTCATGATATCTCTATCTCCGCCATTCTCCTTCACGAGTTTCGAACAGTCACTGTCGCTCAGGAATTATTACAAGTTCCTTCCACATTCTGGCTTTGCGTCATAGAAATGGCGGTATGTATAACCCATTGAAAGGTGTCAGAAAAGCTACGATTTACTACGAAACCGGCTCACCAAGCCTCGTGTGCGGACTTTGGTTCCGGACTCTGATACCTAGGAGAACGGCGACCTGGTGATTCCTGAAAAAGCGGACTTTACGAAAGCTTGTGGCAACTCATGTTTAGCTCGTGTTTCTTACGCAATCTTGCCTTGCTGATAGAGACATGCGTTCAAGCGCGCGTGGACCGTGAAGACCGAATATACGTCTTGACAAGATCAGCGGTAGTACAGGCCTGAAACCTGGAGAATTGATGTTGAACATCGCATACCGCTGTAACTGTTATACAAATGGCATTTGGCAATTTGAACGGTTTGTTGACACATGTGCATGATACGCTCGATCACGCATCTATCCAACGTCGACGACTAGTGAGTAGTTAACGATCATCATGATGGACGTGGAGCTTAGATGATTGCCCAATTTGGCCTTGATCGCACTTGTCTTCAAAGCGACCGAAAACCTGCCGAGGATAGCTCATTGTGGTTGAAATAGAAGATATTCGTCTACCCATAATCGAAGGGCGCACGTTAGCATGATATTCGTCAGAGGCAGCACTTACCTAACACTCTTGTCATCTCAAGCTTGAGAGAAAGATCTACCCACAACGGGGGTACGCGCAAATGATTCAAGATTGAGTAGAGATGGCACATTCGTACAAGTGGTCTAGAGTAATCCACGGTTCCTAAAAAATACAACCAAGATAACAAGGCTGAACGAAAACCTAATCAGCATTAAGGCAACATGAAACCTGGAGATGTGAGAGGAACGCGCACGATGAAAAAGAACATGGCAGAAAGTGCAAAAACGACGACGATAAAGATGACAGAAACGTCCGATTGTTTCTTCGTACTCCGCCTCAAGAATGAATCCGTTTGGGAGGGCTACCAGCCCCACCATCCTCCGCCTCACGGCCCCTTTTGTTGCTGTTGCCGCGGCTCCATACAACGTCCCTCATCAGAGGCGCAGTGAAATACACGTCAATTGACGGCTTCCTCTTCACCACCTTCCTCTCCTCCCACCCTGCCCCTGCATTTGCATTCCCCATGACGGGACTAGTCGGGTTCGAATGGACCAAAGACTCAATACTCATCCCCATCCCAGCATCCCCGGAAAAATTAGGTTTCTTCTTGTACTACGCGCTGGTAAGAGCTTACAAAAGTCTGGGCCAAAGAGAGACTCACGGTTTCGAGCTCAGGCTTGCCTCTCCACTTCGCCACAGCCTCGCAGAACCGTACAGCGGCACGCTCGACGGGCTCCGCTGGGTACTGCCATGCTAGGTCTTCCATGTGCGTTGAGAGATCAGGAGTTGAGGGAGGGATGTCGTGGAACTAAAGCAAGTCGTTCAGTGTAGTGTGGGTGGGGAAAGCACTCAACTCACCCTTCGAAGTCTGTCGAGCATCTCTAGCTCGTAATCTTCCTCTGCCTTTCCTTTCTGCGTCGAAGCTTGTCGTAGACTCGGAAAAAGAATCTTAATAGCATCCACAAGCCCAGGAAGCTCGTCTGGATCAAACTCGGAAAACTCAGCATCTTCATCTTCCTCACTTTCTCCACCATCTTGGTCTTCGCCCGCACCCTCATTGACCCCAAGCCCAACGAGCAACAAACACTGCACGGCTTGCCAATCCCTCCACCCAGCTGATAAGTATCCTTCCAATACGGCTCTTGTCAGAAGGCCAGCTAGAAGGAGGTACCATTCCAACGAGGGACGTAGAGCGGACTCGTACATCTTTTGGGGACTTGGAGGTTGCGCCGTGCTGCGAGGTGCTAGAGGAGATGTGGGTCGAACATGAGTTAAAGGGGACGTGGGTCGGAGGACGGGAGAGAATGCGCTCCCACTTTCCCAGCCTGATGAATCATTCTTCCGCTGGTTCGTACTCCCTTCCACACCCGAAGCAGCCTCCACACCCTGTGATAATCCAACAGAATGTTTGTCCTCTTCTCTAACACCAACATCCTCCTCTTCCCCCCTAACCTCCCTCCCAAGCTCGGCAGCAGCCAACGCCGAAAGCCGAATGAACCGTGGTATCAACTTGCTCAATTTTGTGTTTCCTGATCCCGTTCCCCCTTCTTCCTGCTTTTCCTCGCTGTCTCGATCCCTGTCTTTTTGGTTTTGCTTCCCCGGGGCAATTCCGGATGCCTTCCGCCTTAACGCGCTCCCCCTTACGCCAGGCCTCAGCAAGCCTGAACCAATCCCACTCCCGTCATCCTTCCACCCCGTAATCTCACCCCCTGAAGTAAATTTCCAGTTGGTCCCCGATGTGGTTTGCCAGCTTGTGCTAGCTGCTGTGGGGAAAGACGAGGAAGAACCCGTGCGGAATGAGGATGAGGCTGTGAGAGAAGATGAGAAGGAAGAGGACAATTGCCCACGCGAGGGGTCGCTGCCGCTTGATCGGTGGCGCGTGGGTGATTTGGCCTCTACGCAAATCTCGCAGCCTGTGTGGAGGTGTCGTGGGCAACGAAACGTAGGAAGAGAGTTGACTGTGTGGTGGTCAATACCTGCGGTGTAGAGGGAGCGAGTGCGTGTACTGGGGATTGGAAGTATATCGTGGGATGAAGATGGGGAAGAGGAAGAGGACTGTGGGTATGTCCGGGGGGGCGTATAGCGGTATGGTGCGATGGGTTGTGGCTGTTTTGGTAGTGGGGAGAACGCCCCAGATACTGTGGCAAGTGGTATGAGTGCTTCTGGTAAATCAGAGAACGACGCGGGTATCGGTGTTGGCGGGGTATGCTCCGTTTTGGGTGGGGAAGGATGAGTGTGCCGGTATGCAGGGTGGGGAGCTTGGCGCGCAAATAGATCATTGATGATCGTGCCGAGGGCTAAGCGCAAGCGGACGCCATTCGGTAAAGTATGCGGATGCTTGGAGGGTTTGGGCTTGGGTGAACTTGGTGGTGTAATGATGTCGTCGTCGTCGATCGGATGGATCGGAGGGGGTTGTTCGAGCATGGACGTGACGACTTTCTCGAGCCCTTCTGCGCGTAATCTGAGGCTCCGCGCGAGTGTTAGATCCTGGCGTCGTAGCCTTTCGCCTTCTTCGTCATTGCGAGCGCCCGATCTCGCTTTAAGGGCACCCGTATCTTCCCCTTCACTTCCGAGCTCGTCCTCTTCCTCATAATTCTCTGGTCTCCGACGGTGTGCATAATTAGGCGACGATGGGCCACCCGCACGATCAGTCATGCCAAGCTCAGCTCTAGCCTGGGCAAAACGCGTTCTCCCTGCGATTGAGATTGAGCGTCCGAATGTTAAATATAGATGCAGCGTACCATGGACCCACAACATATGGTCGATTATCAACGTGCGTGTGCTCTTCTCGCGTGGAGGGATCGAGTGGAGATGGTGAGCATGCTTGTGTGCCGGAGGCTTGAAAGTGGGCTGGGCGAGAGTTGAGCCGCTTGGAATGGCAGCATTACCCGATGCTGATGGTCGAGTTGGGGTCGCGTGCTGCAGGCTGGGGCGATGAATTGTGTTACTCCCAAAAATGTTCTGTGAAGTGGTGTATTGGTAGGCGGCCATTGAATAGACCCGTAATTGGTTCGAGTATCTCGAAGTGCGGGGGAAGAGACTGTTTCTAATCGTATCATGATGCACTTACCTTTTGATCGAGACTCCCGATTTTTTCCTAACGGGCCGAGCACAAGGCAGTTGCCGGTCTAGTGACTAATCAACAACCTTGGCGCGACTTGAATGCAGGCTCAGATCCAAAGCTTTGGAGGGAAGACCTTGATGGTTTGAAATCTATTGAACGATAAGCTTGAGCGGAGTTTCCATCTGGATGCAAGAGTACCAAACCGCCTCCGATTAGTATCCATCGTTTTTACTCACGGGCCTAATAGTACCGCTCGCTGGCCACGGTTTAATGCAGAATTAGATATTTGTGAAGGCGAACTTGGCACCGAAAGAAGAAAAAAACACATTGCACGACAACGACGCGTGGCTTTTAAAAAATAAGAGGACACAAGAAAGCTCAGAATGGATCGAAATAGCAAAACGGCATCTTACCAAGCACAAAACTAGCCAAGGCATCGATTGTCGATGCCTTGATCATAATGCAAGCTATTAAAATGTGGCAGAGAGTTAGTGTTCAAGTCGAAAGCGAAAGAGCCGGGGAACGAATTTCGAGACAAGGAAGGTTAAGAAGCGCAAAAAAGGAAAACTATCTCACCGAAGCCTCACAGGTATTCGAAGGGGGAAACACGAAGGCGGGGGAGCTTGAACGGGCGCTCTTAATAAATGGTATGACTCACAAGGGATTCATTCTTTATAAAGACTTCTTCCGTCACTGAATCAACAGCTTTTCCCGCGTCATGGCGCCGTTCCGGCTTGCCGCTTCTCATTAAATCGAATCCGAACTTGAACGTGCAAGCCCCGCCCTCGAATTGGTCCTCATCCAGGTAAATTACCCTAGGTTAAACGTTGAAGGGATGAACACGTCATCTGGAAACAATCTCACCTGCTTTCAATGGCTTGAATTGTCGCTTGTCGCAATTTTAGTTCACCGTGGGTGAGCTGCGCCTTCAATAAGGCGGGGCACTGGAATTGGTGTTCAACGCACATGCCATATAGTCAACATATGTAAAATAATTTATTGGAGTAATGGAAATTACCTGCTTATAGTATCGAGGTGGCGTAAATGAAGGGATAACGAGTTCATTTATTTTCCCGAGGTGCGCGCAGCTTCAAACGCACGCATATATTCAACTTTAATTACTCTTAGAAGTGGAGGAAATACTTACGTGCTTGGCTACGTTCATGAGCAGAACCGCATTTAAAATCGAGACACATCGCACAAGCTTCGACTTTGAAAGTGGGTTGTCGGATCCTGGGACAAGACACTGAATGAAGTAGCGATTCAAAGATTCAATGCGTTCGTACTTACTTGACAGCGGCGAGGGAGATAGGTACTCCGCTCAAAGATCGCCGCTCATGCCACAAGGTTTACTAGGATATCTTCGGGCCAGCGCGAGGGGCTAGTGTCTGGGGGAGAGGATACCAGAAAGAAGGGGAGGAGAGAATGCAGCTATCTAAATAATGAGCAAGAGACTCCAAACACAACCTGACAAGTCCAAATAACAACAATCTCAAACGAAGCCAAAGTAGAAGCTTTTGCAAAAACCCCAAGCACAGCAGAGCTTTTGGGTTAATCTGCGCCCTCCGAGTCGCCCCCTTCACAACCTAAAGTTAGCTGGAAATAGGGGGTACGAGATGCGTTCACTGCTTTGAAATCAAGGTATGTATCGCTAGGTTGCCCTTGCTTAGGACAGGACGCAGATCAACTGAATCATTCCGCTCTCAGGCGTCTACGGACATATCCATAAAGGTTATATGTTGCCGCTGACTAGCTCTCAAGTATGTCAACGCTGAACAATATTTATTGAAGGACTGCTTAAGTGCATCGTGAATGAGTATTGAGGAGGCCGTTAGAACGGACAATCTTTTAAACCGTCGCATGTCAATGTGCGTATTCAGGATAATCGAATTTAAATTTAGACTTCAACCTACTAAAATTTATTCATGAGTGCAAGTCAAACTAGCCAGTGGGCGGTGATGAAAACCAATACCATCCGGATCTAAGTCCTGACTCTGATCGTCACAGTAGTATGATACTCCCCTCAAATGTATTTAATAACACACAAGTATGGCCACTCAAACAAGAGACGAAATAGTAGTTCAATTCGAGTTTTATCTCTTCACAAAAATGATTGTTCTGTTGATATAACGATTAACAGAAGAGGGAAGAAAACCAGCTCCAAGCGCGACCATCTGATTCCCCCACTTTCTTCGATTCGAGGCCCCTCTTCCATGCGGTCTCAAGCCCGGGCTGAACGACGCCAACTGTGAGCTTCTTGCATCCTACTTTTTTATAGACCTTGTCGATGATCTCCCACGCAGATTCACTTTGCTGAGAAATTTCTTTTCCTGGGGTTATCTGAAAGCATAACTTTCCCTGTTCGGAGCTGCCACCAGAAGATTGGCCGTGGATGGTGAAGACTTCAAGCAGGTTCTCCTTCGTAACGTCATTAACGAGCAAATCCGTTAGCACCTGAGGTTGTTGTTGTTTTATCTGCTGCAGATATAAAATTCCGCTGAATATATGGCCACTAGACCTGCCTTTTATGAGAGTGGACAAAATCGAAACAAAATAAATCTACTCACTTCTTTTTCAAAAACTCCACAGCCTCTACTAGAATGTCGGTGTCGGTGGGTGGTTGGTTAGTGGTGTTGAAGCCCGGTATTTCGATGAGGGTAAATTTAGAGGTAGGATCACCCGGATGGCAGCAAGTAGTAGACTGAAGTTTCGTAGAGCCAAGCATGCTGACATTTCTTTTTTCATTTCTGCCCGCTGCGCTATTTATAAACTTTTTTTGGACTTTGAGGACTCGGCGGCGACGAAGCGTGAACCCTTGAACTTACAAAACTCTTCCCGCATCCCGCTTGGCCCATTACGCTTGCATCTTCAGTGTCAGAATATGGCTTCGTGTACGTGAATGGTGGCATACAGAATCAAGACCTCGACATCGGCAGACTCGGAAGAGTTCCCCATAATAGCCTAGACCTCAAAGTTCAGGATTCATTGGAGATGTATGCCATAAGGAAGAATTTACGTCAAACGAGCTCAGACAAATTTGCAGGAAATTTTCAGAAGGCAGGTGAAAGGTTGGGAGTTGAGTGGCTCTGTTCGATTTCGAGCTGCTCTTCAGCTTTGCCCAACGCACAAGGTGAGGCTGAACGCATGTTGCTCGTTTTCAAGATTCCATAGTACTCATTGCCCGATTCAGTCAACTGAGACGAAGTATTGAATTTATTTCGATCCAGATCTGGTCAGCTGCCTCGGAGGCAAAAGTGATCGCCTCAGAAGCCACGCACAGGATCAAAGGATGGCCATCGATACGCACGCAAAGAAAATGAGGCCGGTATCACACGTATTCGGACCTGTAGCCCCGTTCATGTAGCGCTCGTACGAAAATGGAGGAAGATTCAGGACAACTTGCTATTTGACTGGCAGATAGGCGCCATATCAGCCACACCTATGTGCGATGCTACCCACGACGACAACGTTTTCTTGGCCATAAAGTTATTAATAAACTAGTGCAGGCAGAATAACCATTTCGGTCATCATTCAACACCAACGACAGCAACGGAGGAAAATTACACACAGTACTTTTCCCAACTTGAACGCCAGTAGTAGGACAACTTTGATAACGCTAGAAACTTGTCCCAGACTTAAGATCGCACGGCCAGATGAAGGAGAACCAGCAGGTACGCACAGTATTATGATGCCAGTATCTTTTCCTTCAATCACAACATCCCTCCCTTTCATTTGCTTCCTCCACTTTACCATTCTGTGATGATTCTGTGTTATCGATCACAGAATACTTACCTTGAAGAAATTCAGACTTGAATTGAATGAGATTCAAAAAACCTGTCCGGTCAAACTTATACCTTAAGGCAAGTCCTTGCCGGACGCACTCAACGCGATGCAACAGCGTGTAGAGAATGTAGAATAGTAAGTAGGGCGAAATTGAGAGGAGCTCAAACGTGCCTGAATTAGCTTGGAATTAACGAAGTCGAGATTTGATAGTCAAACATGTACAAACATTGACACATCGCTGTTTATACAGCTTTAGACCCGCGCCTACGGCACGGCACTCGCTGGCGCTCGGCCGTTCCTCCAGTGTATAGACATAAACCACTTCAGCTGTGTCGATCGTCGTGATCTCTCAATGCACGAGGCCCAAAGAATAAATTTTTGTCAGTTCGCCTCTTGTGTTTATTGACGGAAAAGCTCAGTCACTTCGCAGATCCCCGATCGCGACATCACAACTTCTTGAACTTGCAACTTCCAGGCTGCATCCATGAGGCGTGTCTTGGGAAACAAACATCCGAGGGATGAATAGCTTCAATGCTGGCCTCCTGCGCGCCGTTTACGCTGCTTCCAGTCCTGTGCATTGACACAATTTCTCCTAACAATCATGCGGATCAAAGCTGGGAAGACGGAGAAGGCTCCAAGGTCAACGAAACTCAAGTATAAGGCACTTCCGGACGACATCATTATTCCGTAGGTAGCCATTCATTCAATACCACACGTTGGTTGCTGATGACCTCTTTAGAGTGATGGGTCCAACTGGCGTAGGGAAAAGCACGGTAGATGCATCGTATCTTGACACCTCTGTTCTCAGTGACTGATGATGTTAGTTTATCAATCATATTGCAGGGAACTCCGTGAAAGTCGGTCACAACTTGAAATCCTGTACCGCGGAGCTTCAGCCAGTAGTCGTAAATTCTTCGCAACACTCTCAGCTTGGAGGCCAAAGGTTGGTCATCGTGGACACTCCTGGATTCGATGACACCTACGTGTCGGATTCGGAGATTTTGCAACGTATTGCATTGTGGTTGGCAGACGCGTGAGTTTTCTAGCTGAATCCGAAAATGGCACTGCGTTCATCACGATGACAGCTACCATGGTGAGATGAAGTTGGGTGGCGTAATCTACCTTCACGACATATCGCTGAGCCGCATGCTGGGCACAACGCGCAAGAACCTCGAGGTGTTTCAGAAGCTTTGTGGTGATGACGCTTTCCGAAGCGTTATTCTGGGTACCACGAAATGGGGTGACGTCTTCAAGGAGGACGGAGACAGGCGGACCCAACAACTTTGTGACAACTATTGGCGGGAAATGCTTGATCATGGGTCACAGGTTTTCAGGTTTGAAGATTCCTCGAAGTCAGCCTGGGCGATGGTGAATTCAATTATCGAGCTAAACCGAAGTCGAGCCGAGGTTCTTCAAATACAGCGAGAACTGGTTGACGCCCTCAAGCTCATTCCTGACACGGAGGCGGGCCAGAAGCTACGCAACGATCTCGATCAAGTTTTGATAAAACTCAAGGAAGACCGAAAAGCGCAAAAGAAAGACGAATCTAAACGCATGGAACTCGACCGTGAGATTGCCCAGGTCCGAGAACAGATGAAGGTCATGAAGGTTCCCGTTTCCCAGCGTATCCTGGGCTTTCTTAGTCTTGGGATCGACAAGATTTTGGATGCAGTCGCACTGAGCCCTCCTGCTCCTGAGTCATCGATTACTCGTCTGGCTATTGACTGTGACCGGCTGGTTTTGTGCGTGCTTCTACTTCGCTTGTTGGACATGCAGTTGATACAAAAACAAGGTTATTTGGGGAAAATCGTGAAGTAAAGAACATGGTACTCACGCATCGTTCTTCCAAGAGCGCCACTGACTTCTCCAGTAGCTACTCAAACTTCTCTCAGCCCAAGGAGTCGACGATCAGAATACCCCCACACAAGAGATAAAGTGTTGGCCCGTGGGGACGAATGAAGAGTCTTACATGATCATTGACACGCCCGATCTTGATTCGTCTTCGAATCTAGGAAGAGTTGTCCAAAAGACGCGAACCTGGCTTGAATCCTCGTAGGTTTTTGTGAACTTTGATGGGGAGTCTTCTCATTCCATCTTAGATGCCGTGAGGACATGAACGTGGGCGTCGTCTATTTGAAACTAAGTGGGCTCAATCCGTCCTCTTCTCCACAAGGTCCACCTGCTAATCCCATAACATAGATGGCTCTGCATCTGACACAGGCGCCGTCTCGCTACAAGAAAATAAGTTACCAACACATGCTGCCGTTTCGCGTGTCACTCCACGACCTAACGAGTCCACCCTCTCACTCAATGAATCTCTGTCTAACTATAACATCAAGCTGGTCCCCAACGGACCCTCAAACCCACAAACCGCACGGCAACCGCCCAACCCCCCTGTCATTTCAATGACCGACGCTCGGCCCTTCGCCGCTCCCATTGATATGAAGACGGATACTCCTTTTCCACCCTCTACTGCTCCGGTCTTTTCTCCCGCAAAAGCTGTCCGCCCTTCGTCGATCACCCGAAAGTCTTATGACACAAGCCCGCTTGCTGTTACGAAAGAAGGGCCGCCTGCAGCTATCGTTTCGGGATATGAAGGAATCACCTCAGCGACTACTGTTGCTAGGCATCCGCTGCCCACAAACCAGTTGGTGTCTTCAGGGCATGTATCGAGGTTCCTTCGTTCGAAGGGACCTCAAGCCACGCCGTCTCCCACTCCCCTTCCTGCCAGAATCTCAGAATCTTCACCATTAACGATGGAGTTATTCCAGGGCTTACCCTCTGCCGACAGCATCCTTTTTGCCACTCTGACGACCAGACCGAAAACACAAACATCAGAAGAAGCTGTAGAGGCAGATGTCGTACCTTATAACCACGCGTCCGATGGCAAGGTCGTTGAGTTTCACAATACACCTGAAGCGGCTCAAGCCATGTTGCATCTTCTGCTCAAAAAGACCCTTCCGGTTGCCATGTTGCTTGATACTTTGAATTCGCTCGACGAAGAGACAACCAGTAAGCCCAGTGAGGGGGGCAAGTTCAAACTCTTGGGTAGTTTTCGCAGGCAAGTTCACAGCATTCGATAATTGGCTATCCGCGCTTATATTCCACTTTCTCTTCAGTCTTTTCCGCTAAACTATAGTTTACAATCATGTATATATGTACAATTCCTGAGTGAATGGTGAAATTTAAACGCAACGATTTTCACGAACTTATGTAAGCCGTTCCCAAATTATCACGCTTGGCTATCACCACCATAATCAACGCCTCGTTCCAATCCTACAGTTTCAGATCTTTCCCTGGTCGGCCACGCTCATGCCATGCCTACATATAGACTGGGGCACGAGGGATACACGTCCAGTACATATGAGTCCAACCCCCCTGCTGAAGACCCACCGCAAGACCACCACTACTCGAAATCGAACGTCCCTTCAACTCTAGGTCCTCTACAACAATTTCATTAAAATATGGGGATGAAGGATCTTTGGAAAACCAATGTGAGAAAACCAGGAGACTCCCTTTTCACCAATGCCAGGAAAGGCGACATCATTGTCCCGTACGTATCATTCCCTTCTGATTTCAATCAATCGCGCTGACCGCTTCCATAGCGTGATGGGCCCTACAGGCGTTGGAAAGAGTTCGGTCGGTTCTCATGGTTGGATCTTTTCGCTTACTAGTCACTTACTCACACATGTCTGCAGTTCATCAACTCCTACCTGGGCGAGAAAAGCAAGGAAAAGGCAACAGTGGGTCACGATCTTAAATCGTGCACTGCGGAGCTCCAGCCTTTTTTCAAAGATCTCCCGCCAGACGAGTCCGGGAAGCCCAGGCGCCTTGTCCTTGTTGACACACCAGGGTTCGATGACACCAATGAAGCGGATTCAGAAATCTTGAGACGAATTGCAGTATGGTTGGCTTCGACGTGAGTTCAGCATATCCTTGCTACCGCTGCTTTGTCTAACAATGTCGAAGGTACGGTACAGGGACGAAATGTGGCGGTCTCATCTATCTCCATGATATGACCGACGCGCGCATGCGAGGCACGACTCTTCAGAATCTCCACGTATTTCGGAAGCTTTGCGGGAAGGAAAACCTTGAATCCGTCGTTTTCGGGACCACGAAATCTGGTAAACTTACCCCAGAAGTATTTGCTAGACGTGAGAAGCAGCTGTCCGACGGGTACTGGAAGGAGTTCAAGAAGCAGGGGGCAATAGTTTTTAAGCTCCTTGATTCACACGAGTCAGCGCGCGAGTTAGTTCAGAAAGTCCTTGACAGATTAAAGGAGGAGCAGCACGTCTTGCGCATTCAAGAAGAGATAGTTGACGTCGCTAGGATACTTCCGGCCACCAAGGCAGGGAGAAAGCTGAAGTATACCTTGGAGGAGATCATGGAGCACCAGAGAAGGGCCCTTGCCGGTAAACCCCTCACCCCAGAGCAAATCGAAGAGCACGAACGAAAAATTGCGACGGTCGCCTCGCAAGCCGAGGAGCTGAAACTTTCGCTCGGGCAGCGTCTTCGGATCTTCTTTCACCTGGTGAGTTGTCGTGCAATCTCTTCATTAATATATGACCATTTATCGCTTTCTCTCAGGCTTGAGGACGCAACAGGTGTGCGGTCGCCGTGAAATGATCTACTTGACTTGAACCTGGTTCAGGGTATATATGCCTCACAACCGAGCTCATAACATAATTCCGTTTTACTTTCTGCTTGTCTCTTACTTCCACACTTCCCGTATATACTCTCATCTGTAAAGTTGTTTTGGCGAAATAGAAGCCACGATCTTGCCACAACCTGGCCTTGACTCTTGAGAAGACAATCAGCACCGACCGAATGTGGCTTGTCAAGCCCACGCTACTCATAGGGTGAACAGTATTGTAACGTTGTGAACGTATGGCGCAACCATGCGACCTTACAAGAAGCTTGTTGTGACCTCATGCATCATCATGTCCAATTATCCCATGACAATTTTAGGACGTACATACATACATTTTAGCCTCCCCAACCTTTGCTGAACCACCCACCAACTGGCACGCATGATGCACATGTCACAAATCAGTACTGGCCGAAATTTTGACGAGTCGAGACGAACACAACGCTGATAATGACACCGATCCCTGAGAGGGGAATAAGTGAGTGGTCAGCCGAAAAGGTTGGCGGAACAGTGGCGTGTATGGCTATGATTTACCTAGCTGCTCCAGATGATTCATCCCAGTAATTTATTCTTTGGTGCGAGTACTCCGAAGAATCGTAAGACGCGGTAAGAGAATGGAATATGCAATGCCTTGATTTGTGCACGAATACCGGCAATTTGGGCAGGATTGAGCATTTCAATAGAAAGGGAATCTGTCGAGAGTTGTTTACTCTTTGGGGTTCTAAGTAGTTTGTCAAGACAATAGCGCAGTTGTTGGCCCGCCTCTGTGTCGGCAACGAGCTTCTTCGCATGAACCAATTCCTCCTGAATCTGAAGGACCTCCGTTCGACATAGGGTGCTTTTACCATCATCGAGTATCGCCTCGACCATCTCCCAGGCCGAGTCTTGGCTGCCTGTAAATTTACGAACTGTTGCGCCGTCCTTGATTAGCTTGCCCCAAAAGTGGTTGATGAGGCTGTCAAGTTTACACTCCCGTTCAGCACGCCTGGCGTCGTCAGCCCCCCACTTCGTGGTGCCAAGGATGAGCGTCTTAGGTTCGGTGAATAGTTCACAAATTTTATCAAGATATTTGGAAAAGTCGTGGTGTGGTCGGAGGTTCACATCGTGAAGGTGGATGATTCCGCCGATCTTTATGTCTGGTCCATATCTGACATCTTATGAGCGTTTCGTCTGTCAGGCTTTGGAAGCCAGCGCACCTGGTTGCCAAATTCTCAACGATTCCTCTTAACGTTGTAGCATCATCCCCGAAAGTAGAGTCAAAGCCAGGCGTGTCTACGACGATCAGTCTTCTCCCATGATACGAAGCCTTTCGACTGTTCACCAGGCTTGGATTGATGGTCACGGGCTGGACTTTATCGGTGCATGATTGAAGATCATCTCCGACGACGACTTCAGGCTTGCCGGCGAGGGTATTAACAAACTATAGTAGTCAGCAGGGTAACAGGGAAAAGGATCTAAAGTAACTACCAGGCTTTTCCCAACCCCAGTCACGCCGATTACACTGAAAATTTTGGATGAGCGACGGGACTTTCTCACAAAGGTCGAGTTACATACGGGATAATCACATCATATGCAAGAACTGAGTCCACCATGTCCCACGCAGATTGCTGTGTGTCCTCAAATTTGCGGACAATTGATCCACGTTCAATCATTTCCAGCCAGTATTTGCCACAAAGTTCTTTGAGCCGTTGTTCTCCAACATCTTCGACAGAAGTGGACGCCACCGGCAGTTCCGTCCACTTTGTCGTACCAAGGACAACACTACGCAAAGCCCGATCCCCACAAAGTTTCTTGAATACCTCAAGGTTCCTCAGAGCGGTACCTTTCATTCGAGGCAAGGAAATGTCGTGAAGGTAGATAAGCCCACCAAGTTTCGTATCGGCGCTGTAGCTTCTATGGGTTGAGAATTATTGCCACAACTTTAAATCATTAACCCACAGATGCGCAAGCCAAGAAGCAATGCGGTTCAAGACTTCTGATTCCGCCGCAAAAGTATCATCGAATCCAGGAGTATCGACAAGCACCACTCTTCTGTCGCGAAACAGAATTGAATGCGGTGGACTCACAACAATCGGCTGAAGTTGTGTGGTGCAACTTTGCATATCATGGCCAACCCGAACGATATCTTCGCCTGCAAGGTAGTTGATGAACTAGAAAGATTAGCCCATTCGTGAAAGGAGAATCAACAATTTGAAGCCCTACAGTACTCTTCCCGACGCCAGAGGGGCCCATTACACTAGATATCAGAAGGGGGGGGGATGAAGACCTAACCCACAATGACGCCGGCACCACTTACGGAATGATTATGTCGTTCAGCATCGGTTCATATTCCATTGAATTCGCCTTGCCAATGTCCTTTCCAACCTTGAATTTCATTCTAGTCTGAAAGAGTATCTGGTCAACGTCTCAACTGATGGGAGAGTTTGGAGAGAAAAACGTTTTCTGTGTGCAGAGGGAGGGCGGCAGGGTGGAGGCGATTGCGGGACACCCTCTTGCGAGATCTCGTAGATTACCGATCGCGTGCCTGAGGTGGGGCGCTTGTACGTTGCGTTCAAACCTCGAACTCAGATGGGGCGTGGCACGAGGATTGCATGAGTTTCTGCATATCATCGGTGTCAATTGGAAGCTTGCAAATGGGGCGTGAGGGACAGATCAGGGACGAGGAAGTGACGTGTTCCAAGTCCCGATCTTTGCTCTTCAATGGTGTGATTTGAAGTCCAATCTAAACCATGGGAGTTGAGTGTTTCCACTGATGGACCGTGGCTTCGGAAGGGGTGTCGCCCGGCGTTGATCCAGATTTGCAACGAGTCTTTCCAATCTTGACAGATCGAGGCAAGGTAGGCGTTTCAGGTCGCGGTATGGGAACTGCGTTAAACGACTGATCTCGACTGATGCCACCCGCTGGCCGCATGTGGGGACTTCTTACGGAAATCATTCATGGAAACGATGATGACAGGCGAGAGAATTGGATCGGGTAATTACATTATGCGTATGCGGACGAGTCTCGAGCTGCCGTCGTTGTGAGGGTTTTTAACGGGAGACTAAACAGTACTAGAATGAGAATTATATAGCTGTAAGAGAGGTAAAACATCCCATAGAACTCACTCATGTGCCTCTCAACCACAGAGACTGTGTTATACGAAAATCCCAGTTCTGATTTTTGACATACCCAGACTATACAAGCTTGTTACGGTGTAACTTCTCGTCACGACCGATGTGTTGACTGGCCCATCGCCATCTTCCTTGCGCCTTGAGCAAATATTGAGCTTTATTTCCGTGCCTTCTGTGATAGCCAAAGTCCAACCGAAGTCACGGGGGGTAGCGGATTATGATGCAGTCCCGAATAGTATTGAAAATCAAATCGCCAAATTGTTACAATGAAGGCCATCCCTGCACCAAGTCGAACTAGAAAGAATGAAGGAGTCAGTTACAAAAGCCAAATAAAAGCAACTTCAAGTCGGAACTTCGGAAGGCGTTGCCAAACAAGCCCAACCTTAAATTCCCCACCGCACGGAGGCGGAACTGTTGCCTTTCCCAAGCCTTTCCGCAGACGCTATATAACACAAAATAGTGAGGCTCCTCTCTCAACACGGTTTCCTCGTTCTCTCATTTATTGCTGACCTCCAGCATCGCTCTCTCGTTTATCGCGAAGGCCTAAACTTTAAAGTGATGCCGACGTTGAACTGGAAGCAGGAAGCTAACGATGTTATCATTCCGTGTGTTACCGTCTCCAACCCGCTCGGCGGTAGTCTGATATTGAATATTTTTTAGGTTGATGGGTCCAACCGGTGCAGGAAAAAGCACAGTAAGAGTTTCATGCTTCAACAACCTTTTTCTTTGAGAATTCACGGCTCTAGTTCATCAACCTCATCGCAGGAAAGGAGGTAACAACCGTCGGTCACGACCTTGAGTCATGCACGGTCAGGCCCCTCCCAGTCGTCATCGATTCTTTACAAAGTGATTTATTGAACGACGGAAGATTGGTTCTCGTGGATACCCCTGGATTAGTCGATACTGCCGATGGTTATGCTGATATCTTGCGCGGCATAGATTCCTGGCTTGAAACTAACTCCCGCGACAGTCATGGGCATAAAGCGGAGGCGAAGCTTGCTGGCATTGTTTACCTTCATGACATATCATTGACACGCAAGCTGGGATCAACTCCGAAGCTTGATGTCTTTCAGAAACTGTGCGGGAAAGACGCTGTGAAGCGGGTGGTTATCTGCACGACAAAGTGGTCGGATGTCTACCAGGATGACGGAGAGAAGCGGACCGAGCACCTCAAAGAGAATTACTGGAAGGAGATGATCGAGGGCGGATCGACCGTTCGTAAATTCGAGGATTCTCAGAAATCTGCCTGGGATGTGATCGTACCAATCATCAAGGAAGATCGATTTGTAAAATTACAAGAGGAACTGGAGAAACTTATTCCTAGTACCGAGGAGGGTCCGCAGCTGCGAAATAGTCTCAACCAGTTGTTAAAAAGCTTAAAACAAGCTTCTAGCAACGATTCTTTTCCGCGCAAGGAGCTTGATGCTCAAATTGCTGCCATCAGGGCAATTTCTGTTACCCGACGCATCTTTGATCTTGTCGACAAATTTATAAACAAATACATCGCTCCTCCGTCACCCTCTAGAGGTAACAAGCTCTCTGGTAAGTTTTTAACGTGACCGCTGATGAATCATAAGTACTCACCTACACAAGTCCCCGCCGTGGGTGCAAGACTACAAGCAGATGTCAAGGAGCTGGTCATGTGCGATCTCCATTTAAATCCTTGGATTGTGTTACTCAACGACTTAACGTGACGATCAGGTTGCTTGGCGAAACGGAGACCTCATACGAGAGAGTATGTCGCTGGCCTGAATCTTACGGAAGTAGATGATGATATGACTTATAGCTACTCACGCTCTCTGCTGCTGAAATAACGAATTTTGGCAGTGATGAACAGGCTACAACTGAAGTGCGCTGTTGGTCCGTAAAAAGGGAGGGCTTGAAGCCTCTATTTGTTGTCGCAGCTCCAAGCTTTGATTCTCATCGAGGCGGCGGCAACCTCGAGAAGATTCGAACTTGGTTGGGGCGTTCGTGAGTTTTCATCCGCTTGCTCTTAACTGCTCTCTGATGCGATTCAGGTGCCGCGAGGACATGCAATTTGGCATCATTTACATTCGTAATCCATCACCCTCTGGCCCCTCCCATGCTGGGCGCGCGTTTGAGTTCGTTAGAGAATCCGATTTCAAATTTCGGGCCCTCTTTGCAACTTTCGCCAGTGAGGCAACAGGTGCAGTCGATCGCAATTACCACTTCGACGGCAGTGTCGCTTCTTTTCAAGAAACCAGCGAACAAGCCTCAAAGATGTTTGACATTGCCCTTCGCAATCTTGTTGAACTTGACCTCCTTTTGGAAGCACTTCAGGCCATCTGGGAAGGGGCCACTAAGTGGCCTAGGATACGCTGAGGTACGTAGGCCTATCGGTGGGTGTTCGGAAAGACTGATGTGCAAGTACTTAATGCTTGGCAGTCTCTACCTAAAGTTCAATACGAAATATTCAATTCACTGTATTAGCCAACTTATACCACTTCACTTTTGCGGCTCTGTTTGTCGCCCTTCTTGCCAGGTAGCAAGCAAGGGAGAAGAGAAATCTTGTTGTTAGAGGGTTTGTCTTTTGTATCTTGTTGAGGTCTTGTTGGAGGCTCTCATCGAGGGAGGGTCTCGTCTTCTGAGGGTAAGTTGTAGAAGTAGATGCGCCATCAAGGTCATAGCATCATCATCATACCCGATTTGCATCGCCACCCTCAACCCACTCAGAGACCAACCCCACCCACAGCCACACCCAAACCCCCACTGTACCTAAACACCACCGAAAATCCTGCTCCCCCTTCAAGCCACCAGATCCTAGCTCTTTGCAGAGACGGACTCTGACCTTGACTTTGTATAGGCGACGTCGTAGATGCATACCCCGCCTGACTTCCTGTAGACGGGCACATTCCGCGCCTCATTCTGATCTCACTGGAGAGGAGTAAAGGGGGGTCGGGCTTGAGTTTGTATTTCACAACAGAGAGAAAACAGGGGGTGAAAGGACACGCTAAGGAGGCGTTGACGTTGTCAAGACGTTGTTCGCTTTAGAACCAGGACCGGAACCGCTTTGGGAAGGAAGAAAATCTGAGAGAGGGGAACAAGATCCTCCACTTGTGCTCCCGGTGACGCTCAGCGGATGATGACGGCCATAACCATGCGAAGAAGGCGGATGATAATTCGGCGAAAGGCGCGTCTACGATGATGTTGCCTATGACTCTGTGAAGGCCTCCCCAAATGGAATTTTGATCGTCAGAGTTGAGAGGAGTTGGGGGAGAGGAACCCGCTTGCCCCCCTTGCGCCTAACTTAAATTTGAATCGGAAATGGAATTCGAGGAGGGACCCCCACCACCAAAAGTGAGTTCATTCATCGATAGTTGATGTGAAGAACTCCCATATGTCTGCGACCCAGGAAACAGGTCATTCACTCATATTCACCGTCCCATCGTCTTCCTGCTGCTGCAAATCCAAGTCAAGGGCAAGCGCACTGCCCTCCTGTAACTGCTGTTGTTGTTGGATAAATCTGCGTCCCATGTAGGCGGTTCCAGTGCCGTGTCGGATTCACTACGCATGCGAGGGTGGCGAGAGAAATGAGGTGTTGTTAGTGGGAGGCCAGCCCACCAGAGTCGCTCTTCAAGAGACGAGAGGACGAGGAGGGTTGGGTGTTGGTGGTTACATCGGTGTGCGGTTAACTGCAGGGGTACCACTTTATTGATCTGCAGTCAAATTTCGCCAATATCTCGAGAGGAATCGGTTGAAAGGTACACATCCTTGTCTGGGTCACCGAGGTCAGTTGGAGAAAAGAACGATATATACGAAGGAGTTGCCAAACTTATAACTCAAAGCATGTAGGGCCGCTCAGTTGTGGGAGACGTGTAGTAGCTTCGGGCACTGGGATGCGGATGTCGAAGTTTGCCTGTCGCCCATTTGCCATCGAGATGTATGTAGGTCTCCATTACGTTGGAATGGAATTATTCGACCCTTCCGACAGACCTGAAACGTCTTAAAAAGTCATTGAACACGAACAGGAGACAAAGGAAAGAGTAAGGAGACATACCTTCCCCATTTCAGACCCAATACAGCACGTCACCAGCTTTTCTTGCTTGTCAACAAGTTCATGCGTTAGCGTCTTCAAGTTGACTGTTGAACCTGGCCTCAACACCACGGCGGTGAGTGGGCCGTGACATGACCATGTGACATTGCTCTCAACCAACCAACAACCAACTCTCAACCGCTTTCGACCTGCTCTCGAGTCTCATGACGCCGAGGTCTTACTCTCCACAAATGATAGGCTACTTTTGTAACCTGGTCTCTAACTTCAATGTAAGTCGCCAGTTCACGGCCGAAATTTTGCAATTCCGTGATGAGTAAGCATGAGGCACGAGTGCAAACTCATCTTAGGATAAGATAACGTGTGTGCGTCAGAACCAGACGTCTTACCCAGATGTAGGCACCAATGAATGTCTGCGTTTCTGGGAGTGCTTCTCCCATCACCTTCGGATCTGGTTCTGACGCTAAGAAAGTACCTGTCGGTTACCTCACAAAATTTTTTTGACCTTCGACGTTTTCTCCTGATGGCTGACACCCCCACTGTTCCATCTGGTACTGCTTCGACCGCTCCTGCGGCCTCTACCGATAATGTGCAGTCTCGTACGACTACCGACAGCGTTCCGCCTCGTGTTCCGCGTACCCACACCTCCCCTGCTATTATCCAGCTTTTGAAGAATCTCTCTCTTACCAATATCTTGCAACGGAATAAAAGGATCGAGGCCGACAACGATGCCAGATCTGCCAAGACATTGAATAATGCTCTAGACCCAGCTGCCCATCCTCAACCGGGATCAGAAGCAGCCTCGTTGATCACCATTGATCCCGAGGATCTTGCCCGATTAAGGGTTCCCGCCTTCTTTGCTTCCGTCCGTGACTTTGTTTATACTAGCCTGGCTAAGTATCTTGCGGACGAAGATTTGAAAGACAAGGACGAAAAGAAGAGGAAGGACGACGACATCCTTGCAGAGGATGCCAGGGCCTCTAAAAGGCGTTGTATGGATGGTTCCAACCATGTCGAGAGAGTGGTTGGGGAACCCATTCCCATTGAATTCCCACAGTCTCTATATGACACTGAACTTTGTGTTGCAGTTCCCCTCCCCTTCTTCCTTACTCGGAATTTACGGGCCCTGGTTGATGAGGCATCAACCCTGCCTACTGTCAAATCTAACCCTGCGCCTGGAGAAATCAAGGGAACTTATATTCTAAATATAGAAAAATTGTCCACCCGCTTTGGGAAGGAGTTGACCCTCACTTGTAGTCAATGGACTGAGGCTGCTGCCAATATGTGGAGCTTCCAGGTCTCGAGGGACAAACTGGGTAGTGAGGGGGAACACGCTACGTGGTTTGAAAAGCATTTTAATTTTTTTAACATGCTAAACAAAAGGGACGAGTTATACGACGCTTGGAAGACCATGGAGCTCGAGTTTCGCCAAGACCACCGAAGTCGCCATCTCAAATTTAGTGCGACGGATTACGACAAGGCTCTCGGTCTTACTGAAGAAAGTCACAAGTTGCGCACGGAATTTCACGATCTTACTGAGGAAAGTCACAAGTTGCGCAAGGAATTTCAAGATTTCGTGAATTCTTCCCAACCGGCGTTTGGGCGGTCGGCTCCGTCCTCCCGGGGAGGTGGTTCCTTTTCCCAGAGGACCCTGCCACGAGGTCCTTCCCAGTCACTGACTTCTTCTCAGCCCTTTCCCTCAGGCAGCGGCAAGTCCTCCCCTACGGCCGTCTGCCTCATCTGCGCGCACAAGGGGCACACCGTTTTCTTCCACCTCAAGGCCACCACCCCGCCAAAATTTGCCGACGGAAAAGTTGTATGGGCAAAATGCAACCCAGGCTATGGTCTCGCCACACCCGACAACCAAATCCTCTGCATTAACTGGAACGTCCGCGGCACTGAGGCTGCCTCCCAATGCACCTCCCTCCATAAGGACGACCGCCTTCACCTTTGCTCCTTCTGTGGCAGCAAAGGCCATCACGCCCTCTCCTGGACTTGTCGCACCAAACCCGCCTGAAGATTTATTCACTGTCGCATGTCCCCTCCCCTTATCTTACACTGATTTCTCCCCTTCTGTTGTTCCTCGCCTCCCGCTTCCGTCTTCTTCTCCACACCATTGTTCCATTTTCGAGCGCATCACGCACCCTTATCATCCCGAAGTTTTCGATTCTCTCCTTCTCAAGCATGGCCTCTCTTCTGTCTACCCCCTCCTTTCTGACAACCTACGGCGTGGTTTCCCTCTTGGACACATGCCGGCATTGATGGAATCCGTCATCTTGCCTAACAACCCCTCTACTTATCCTTACCTGCAGGATATCCAAGACTATTTGGATAAGGAGCTTCTGGCTGGTAGGATGTCTGGCCCCTTCTCTCGTGAGGAGGTGGAACTTATTCTACGCGGCCCTTTCTTCTCTTCTCCCTTTGTTGTCGACGTCCAGCCACAGCAACCCAGCACACCTGACAAGATTAGGATTTGCCGACACCTTTCTAAGGCTTTGAAGTCGCATCCTTCCGTCAATTCACATATCCACAAGGGAGATTTTCCAACACGTTTTGATTTGGCCTCGAAGGTTGCCGAAATCGTGAGTCTCCCTCTATCAGTTCCTTTCCCCTCCCCTTCTCCGCCTTTTATAACACACCCCTTTGCGTTTTGTGCGTCGGGTGTTTTCTTCTTTGCTGCAGCATCCATTTTGAGATTTTTGCATTCTTAATGCGCTGTCTCGGGTTTTCTCCTTTGATACTCTTGTGCACTTTGTGCTTTCTTGTGTTTGCGCATCTTGCGCATTCCTTGTCTTTCCGACGTCCGTCTTCTCGTTGTCTCTGGACTCCCTTTGGAGTTCCCTATGCTCCCTTGTGCTCTTGCGCCTCTCTCTACAGTCGAGCACTTCATGTGTCCGTCTCGTGCCCCTCTCCATCTCTTCCTCTTCCTTTGCGTGTTCCATGCGCCCTTTCTCTTTATTGATTTCTTTTACATACTACCTTTTTTCTTACCATGTTCTCTCCTTTTGCTATTCCTTCTTCCTTTTCTTACCGTCCTTTTGCACGCCTTGTGCTGGTTTATACTTCTCCATCTCTTTGCCCCTCTTTGCCTCGTCCCTGCTCCCTCCACACCTCGTGCTTACCCACACTCTCTAGATTGCTCTTGCCCCTCCAGGAACTCAGGCTTGTACTCTGGACATTGCGAAGTTCCACCGTACTTGCCCTGTTTTGCCTTCTCACAAGCCGTGGCTGGTTGTCCAGGGTACCCCTGGCCAGTTCTTTATTGATCATGCGCACCCTTTCGGTGCCGCTTGTGCTAGCAGCAATGCGGGTATGGTTGCTAACGCTGTTGTGGATATTTGGCGGGGAGAGGGTGTTTTCCCTGTTCCCAAATACGAGGATGATCTTAAAGTCTTCCGTATTCCTTCATCTGGTGGCAAATTTCGTGACGGTGACTTTCTTTACGACTACGACCGTTCTGAGATGCTGCGCCGTATCGACCCTTTGGGTGTGCCTTGGCACGATCAAAAAGGAGACGACCATTTCCTTTTTGTCACCACCTTCATCGGCTTTCTTTGGGACATTCCTGGGAAGCTCGTTAGCTTGCCTGAAGAGAAGCGGCTGAAGTTCCACGAGCGCGTGCGACGCTTTCTCAACGATTTCAACAGCCGTCCCTGCCATTTGCTTGATGTCGAAAAAATCCATGGGTCCCTTTGTCATGTTGCCTTTGTGTACATGGATGGCCGCTCGCGCCTTCCCTCGCTTTCTAATTTTGCGTCCTCCTTCTATAACAACGAACTCCTTACAAGACACCCTCCTCATTCCATGATGACCGATCTCTCCTGGTGGCTCCAGAGACTTGAGGTCAGTGGCGTATCTCGTCCTCTGCGCCCCCGTGGTCCTCTGCAAGACTTTGGCTTGTATGTTGATGCCTCCATATCCTGGGGAATTGGCATCATTATTGGAGGCAATTGGGCTTCCTTCCAGCTTTCTCCCATCTGGAAGGTGCCTGGTCGTGATATCTGCTGGCTCGAGACTCTCGCCATCGAGCTGCTTGCTTATTTCCTGGAAGATATGGGTTTGCAACACTGCCGTTTGCTTATCCACTCTGACAACCAGGGTACTATTGGTGCGTTGGAGAAGGGGCGCAGCCCTAACTCTCACATTAACCTCTCTCTGCGCCGTACTTATCTTGTCCTCTCCGATCTCTCTATTTCTCCAGACATTGTTTACATTGAATCCGAGGCTAATCCAGCTGACCCCATCTCGCGCGGAGAACCGGGGGAGGCTGGCAAGCAGATTTTCCCTACTTTTAAGCTCCCAGAGGAGCTATCTGGTTGTTTTCTCTATGTTTAGTCTCAACCGAAGGCTTACATCGTCGACTTGTGTCGCCGAGAGGTCCGTGGGTGAGAAGCAATCTCACATCTCTATCTCACCGCGCCCCACGCGTCCTCGAAATTCCTTTCACCCCTTCCAACGTCCTCCTCCTGTCTCACCTTCTCTCGATTCTACCCTCGATTCCACTTCTGCCAACCTATCTTCCAAGTCCCGTCCTGTGCTCCACCCACTACCAAAACCATCTCCTGTGATCTCTGGCTCCTCTTCACGCACCATCCGCGCTCGTAAACCGCATGCTGGCCGTTCTATCACCCACAATGAACTCCGTCCCCATGTTCCTGCCGCTGACCGTATCTTCTCATGGCACACGCCTTTTGGTTCTCGTCATCAGCATCACATAACCCAGCGCCTACCCCCTGCCCTCGTTGACTCTGCGTTGATGGCTGTTCGAGGAGCTTTGGCTCCTAACACCAAGTCAACATATGCTGCTGGCCCTCTCCGTTTTACTCAGTTTTGTGACAAATGGGGGATCTCAGAGGAGGACCGCATGCCTGCTGACTATGTGTTGCTATGTGCCTTTATTGGTGAATACAAAGGTCTGCAATCTGGTAACACCATTCGGTCATGGTTGGCTGGCCTACGCAGCTGGCATGTCATGAACCATGCGCCTTGGCATGGTGATGATACCTGGGTGCACTTGGCTCGCATCTCAGCTAATAAGGAGGGTACGAAGCACAAACGCCCACTCCGTTCCCCCGTCTCCATTGAGCATCTTTCCTGCCTGCGTCGCGCTTTGAACCTCTCTGACCCCTTCCATGCTGCCGTTTGGGCTGTCGCTCTCGTGACCTTCTTTGGATGTCGTCGTCTGGGGGAAACTACCCTCACTGTTGCCAGGGCGCTTGACCCGAAATATCATGTACTTCGCTCTACGAAGTACGTTCTTACTCTTCTTTTTACTCCCTCTTTCTTACCATTCATTAGAATCTTGTTTCGTGTTCTGCGTGACGGTGCCCGCTCGGCAAGCTTTGACATCCCATGGACGAAAACAACTAAAGAGCTTGGGGCCACTGTCATCCTCACTGCCCGTCGTGATGGCGACCCTCTCTGCCCTGTCTCTGCTTTCAAAAACCACCTCGACGTCAATTCCTCTATCCCATCCTCCTCCACCCTCTTTGCTTATGTCTCTGCATCGGGTGAACCCAAAAACCTCCTCAAGCATGAATTTCTCAGCTTCGTTACCAAAATTTGGTCCTCTGCCATGCTCGCTCATATCCTGGGCCACAGCTTCCGTATTGGCGGCGCTGTTGAGTTACTGTTGGCCGGGGTACCTCCCGAAATCGTCGCCGCCACCGGGGGCTGGACCTCCCTCGCGTTTTTACTGTACTGGCGCCGTATGGACGAAATTTTGCCCATGTCCACTTCAAAAGCTTATAATAAAGCACAGCTCGACCGTCTCGCTTCTATATTTGAAGAATTTCGTATTGCCCACAAGATTCCTTCCTCCTTACTTGATAACTCCACCCCTTAACTCATCACTATGTTGTTTACTTTATTGCCCACCCATCTTTTGTAAATCCTATCTACCTTAACGTCTTGTTCTCTTTATTGTCCATCCAACTTTTGTAAATTCTATCTACCTTAACCCTTTCTCCGAGTGACGCTCATTTGGGAAGCCAGCTTGGCTCTTCCTTGCCTCACCAACCCGCCGGCGTGAGCTTACACTCGGGTTGGTACAGCTGGTTGGCTTGGCAAGCCCAAATTGAGCTTATTGAACGCTCAGACCTTGTTCGCACTTCTTTGAGTTCGGGCATAGTCTTTGCACAACCAAGTTATTTGTGTATACGAATTTCTTGGCCTTCCCTTTTTCTGTATGATACGCAACAGTTATCTTATTCCGTGATGAGTAAGCATGAGGCACGAGTGCAAACTCATCTTAGGATAAGATAACGTGTGTGCGTCAGAACCAGACGTCTTACCCAGATGTAGGCACCAATGAATGTCTGCGTTTCTGGGAGTGCTTCTCCCATCACCTTCGGATCTGGTTCTGACGCTAAGAAAGTACCTGTCGGTTACCTCACAAAATTTTTTTGACCCCACCCACCATCCCTTAGCGTTCAAAACAGCTGGTTGGCTTGGCAAGCCCAAATTGAGCTTATTGAACGCTCAGACCTTGTTCGCACTTCTTTGAGTTCGGGCATAGTCTTTGCACAACCAAGTTATTTGTGTATACGAATTTCTTGGCCTTCCCTTTTTCTGTATGATACGCAACAGTTATCTTATCTGACTCTTTTTTAGACGCTAGACGGATGTAGACGTCGTATTCACTTTCATTCCCTATCAAATTTCATAAGCCATCGCTTGCTCGGGGGGACCAGACCGTACGTCCTCCTCCAAAACCATACTAGTATCAGACCCATCAGCTCTCTCTCAGATCTCATTACTATGGTCGATTCAGTTATAGCAGGGTTGCAGTGACTGAAGAACAAGAACAAGAGGCATTGCATCCAAACAACGCAGCAACTTTGTGTGTACCCCCATTTGCGGCCATTGAACCAATTCTTCCTTATATACGGTGTTGACATGTGGCCCTGCTTTGTAGATAGAAGGAGTCCTTCCTTCCGCGGGTTATAACAAGCTAATAAGGCGTGTTCTAGATCGAGGTGGGCGCGGACTCTGACGAAATATAATGTTGACGTGTGCTTACTCTGCGAGCAGAGTTCTTGCTTCTGAACTTGATGATCCGATGAAGCGGTGAATATTTGAATCTGGTCAACTGTTGGCTTTGACGGTACTGCCAATGGCAATCATAATCAGTCTCATTTACGCCCTGTATCAAGATGTGTTGGAGCGCCCGCCCTTGAAGGTGCAGTAAACGCTTTTTTCTCAAAATTTGCCACCTGCTTATGTATGCTGTACAGAAAGTCAAAGATTGATGCGATGGGATCAAGAAGCTGTAAGAGAAAGCAATTATATAAGTCTTGATCCCCAACGAAAGGCAGCCTTTGTCCGCCCTCCCTTGCTTTCTTTCTCCCAGCAATAGCCATATCTACTTGCAATGTCGTCATATCTCTATATCTTCCGCAACTTGACCTTTTGTAAGTCTCTTTCTTCTTTTTTCGAATACCACCTGACATTCCCGGCTGCCTAGCCCTCTGCCTGACCTTCAGTCTCGCTAACATCGGGCTTGTGGCATATTGGGCCACTTCATTCCAAGATACGCTGTTGGACTTTGAGATTGTTGGGCTCCTTGCAGGCGGGTTGTCTGCTTTGGTGTTCCCCGTCTTGTACGTGCTTGATCCTAAGACCGTCCTAATGCCTAATCAATTGACGACTACTTAGCTTGATCGTTTCGGCCATACGAAAAAATGCCGGGATCACCATGATAGCCGTTGAATTGTCCGTACTCCGTGAGTGACTTTGATTTCTATACCTCTGTTTATCTTACCCATCGGCTGAGCATAGTCGTGATATGGGTATTATGGTTGACCAACTCAATCCTTGTTATGCAATGGGGCCAACTCTTCTATCCCTTCGGATGTAGTGTCCTCTTTTGTTCGCCTCCACTTGTCTGGATTTCATCGCTCCTAACATCAATCTAAATAGCGCCAGCCAGCGATTGGTGCACAGAGTTCTTCGCGATTGAAAAATTATCCATCGTGATCTGGGTGTTCCGTGAGTCGTCAATTTCGGCCCCTGCCTGTACTTCAAGGAGATCGCCGCACTTACGTCCATTTCCCAAGTTTTAATCTATTGGCTTACCATTCTGGTATCCGCCGTGGTCAGTCAATCTCGGGGCAACAGCAAGGTGTGGACAACTCCGGTGAAAGAAGCCGTCTTCTTCCCACAGCAAGCCATTAGCAGCGGCAGCGGCAACAAGACGGTGCATGAAATGGAGGAAGGGACTGCGGCTGCTAGAGCTTCCAACAAATCTACCTGGGAGGAAGCGCCAATCAAGTAACTGGTCCTTGTCCTCATCTTTCGCTTCGATCCTGCACTCCCCGACTGTTTTCATTGTTCATCGTGCGTTGTTGTCTTTTGGACTCTTGTTTATTTTGTGCTCATGAGGTCTTTTTCTGTGCATAGTATTTGTAACCATAAAGACTGGTGTAGACCACTCGTCTGCACGAATGTACTTCATTTGTCCTCTTCTACCCTCCCTTAATGGTGAATCGTTTGTGCCCTGATGGGCTTCTTCCTTGTGGGCTTGATGAGTCTTTAAGAGATTTAGCGAGCGCACACCTCGAGCTTCAAGGACCTGATGTTGATGAGAGCTTTCAGCCGTATTTTGTCCGTTTCATATCATAACTTCAAGCTGATGCGTCTGTCGATCAACCCCATCATTGCCTTTCAGCATCAGGTGAGTGGTTACTCCAAGGTCGTTACTATAAGCTAATTCAAGCTGTCAAGGTTTCAACGAGCGATGCTGCAGAAACTAAAGAACAAGCATGGTGCAAACTTCGGCCCACGAGTCGCGTCTATCTTTTGTCTATCTTCGCTATCTGCTCCTTTCCCAAATGTCCTATCTGTACGTCTTCCGTATCCTCATCCTCTGCGAGTGTACCTTTCTTCTTTTTCAATCGCCTCAGCCCTTTGCGTGATCTTGAGACTTGCCAATACCTGTGACGTGGCACATTGAATGCAGGCTACTTTGATCCTTGATACGTGGATGGACTTTGAGGTTGATGGCATGGTTTACTGCCTTGTATGGTTCCCTCAGGCTCACGTTCGAGCATCCTGATTCACGCACAACTGACCAGACTGATCGTTTCGACCGTCGGGAAAGGACGCAGGTGTCGCCAAGATAGTTGCTGGACTATTCATTCTTCGTGAGTCGATTTCTGTTCAGTGTGCCCTCGATATGCTTACCTATTGGATGGGTATAGCCATGTTAATGATGTGTATTGTGGTTGACCATCTCGGTCCTCGTCATATTGTTCTATCCCTTTGGATGCTTTTCCGTTCGCCCTCTATTCTTCCCTCCAGGAGCCTATTCTCCTAACATTTCATTGACCACAGCGCCAGCCAGCGATTTCTGCGCAGATTTCTTCCCAATTTCAAAGATATCCATCATAATCTTTGTGTTCCGTGAGTCTTCATTCAGCCCTTGCGCTTCGAAAGGTTCCTCTTACTTCTTGCGATTCCCGCAGTACTTACCTACGGGCTCACTATTCTCATAGCTTTTTGCAAAGAAATCCACTGGCTTGGACTCCTCCTTTCCGATGACGACGGGACCATGTCCTCCTTTCTACTATCACAAGTAGCCCGCAGGCTTCGCAACGGTTCCTTGCTCAGTTTCGTCTGCTTGAATCCTACAGGGCGCAATACGACAACAGTTAAACGTTAATTATTACTAACATAATGCATAACGTAGGATTCTATAAGGTGACTTAGTCACTCTGCGATAAAAATACACGGACGATGAGAAGAGAATGCCAAAATGCAGGTTAGAAATACACGGAAGCAGTCGGTGATGGAATTCCAGTCCATCTGGAAACTAGTAGGGGGATGTGTAAAGTAGGGACAGGGAAGGTTGCGCGGATGGCTCTGAAGATTAAGAGGGAGCGTTAGTGTTCATATGGGTACGTGAGTTATTGTAACGACGAATAGAGTCTGCACAGCGAAAAAGGAAAGACAGCATAAGAAGCAAGAGGGAGAAACCTTAGAATGTCGAAGCAATAGATGATCCCGAGATACCGAGACGTTAACAGAGTCCTGCTCCGAGGTTAGGTCAACTTTGTCTGGTTACAGACCTTGCGATGTCGCTTCAGGGAGGAAATGACGCCAAAGGCGCTGGGGCACCGCTCACATGGGTGTGGCTTGAGACCACGGTGTGAGTTGGTATGATCTTTCAAACATGGAATCATCAGCGACTGGAGGAGGAAATGCAGAGATACAGGTGAACACATACTAATAAGGTTATGTTTCTCCGTGAAAGTGTTTCCACAGAGAGAACATATAAACCTTCCTGATTTCTTGCGTCGCTTCTCACTAGCTATCCGGATCTTTTCGCTTGAAACCGCCTTCTTGTGGGACAATGACAGTTCCGTGGTATCACCAGGCCAACCTGAAACAGCGGAGGACGAAGCAGCGGCTGGAGTGTCATGCATTGGATCCCTTCTTTCATCTTCGAAGAAGCTTCGGAAGGGGCTGCGAGATGATGTATCGCTCGGAGAAATATTCAAAGGAACATAACGTGCTGGCGAGGAATAGGGCCCATTACTGGCGTCCATACCCGTGGGTGGGAGACTACAGCTGGAACGCCAAGCTAAGTGGGTCACGTCTTCAGTGGAACTTGCTGAAGCAGAACCAGGTGCATCAAAAAGCCCGTGACCATCATCCACCACCCGGGATGGTAAGGCACGGCTGGAACGCGGAGCAAAAGAGGACCCTTCTTCAATGTATCTTCCTGGCGCAGAATAGGCTCCACCAGGCGGCTCATCACTCGCACCCATTCCCTGGGTTGATGAACCAAAGTTAAAATGTGAAGAAAAGTGAGCCCCGTATTCGCTATAACTCGCAGGCGCAGAATAGGGTCCACATGAAAGCCTACGATCAACGTCCACCCCAGGGGGTGGAAAGCAAGAGCCGGGACGGGAGGGAAAATGAACCCCGCCTTCACTGTATCTTTCTGGCGCAGATTGGGGCCCACCCAAGGGTCCGTGATCAGCCCCATCTTCGCTGTAACGTGCTTGCGCAGAATCAGAGAGCCCACGATCAACGTCCACCCCAGGGGGTGGGAAGCCACCGCCTCGATGGGGTAGGAAGTGAACCCTGTCTATGGTGTAACTTTCTGGTGCAGAATAGGCTCCACCAGACGGCTCATCACTCGCATCCATCCTCTGAGTTGATGGATCAAAGCTGAAATGGGAAGGTAAATGAGCCCCGTATTCGCCATAACTCGCTGGCGCAGAATGGGGTCCACCAGAAACCCCACGATCAACGTCCACTCCGAGGGATGGGAAGCCACAGCCGAGAGGCGATGGGAAGTGAACCCCGTTTCCAGTGTAACTTTCTGGTGCAGGAGGGGGCTCATCACTCGCATCCATTCCCTGGGTTGATGGGCCAAAGCTGGAAAGGGAAAGGGAGTGAGTCCAGTCTTCGGGATGATCTCCTGCAACAAACGCCGACCCAGCGGAGAGCTCATTACTTATATCTAGGTCCAGGGGTAGCAGGGCATGGCTGGGAAGCGTATGACGATTAGGAGAAAAGGGGATAATGGGGGATAAGGGTGCGTGTGGGTATGATGCAGTTTGACGTTGCCCAACGAAGAACATCTCCCGTGCTGGCGGATGACCGTTGCCTAAGGTCAGGCCAAGGCCATTATTCGAACCAACGTTGGGAAGCTCGACGGTGAGCGGCGAGTGCAATTGGTCGAGTTGTGGTCGTCTTAACCCGTGATACGTAGGGAAACCTCCCCCATCACTTGAATGCGGAAGGTGTCCAATGCCGTCGAGGCTTTGAGATACGGGGCTAGCAGTGTCATTCAAGGTCATTTGGATAAAACCGTCATTGAGAGAGGATCCCGGCGAGGTAATCTTGAGATCATTGGAGTGGCTCGAAGGAAAAAGGAAGGGACTGGCGACATAATTGAGTGTAGAACTCGGAGACTCATCTGCACCAAGAGGTAGAGGTTACTTGCTGAAAAGAGAAGCGACGATAGAAACTTGCCAACGTCCGAAAAGTTTGACTCTGGGCTGGAATATAATGGAAACGATCGTTGAGAAGATGCTTGAAAGGCAGTGCCGTTGAAAGAATTGTCGTCTGAAGCTAAGGTGGTGGGCTATGAACATCTGAAAGAAAATAGATAATGATGCGCACATGAAAAATGAAAGGGAGCATCCGAGCTATATGATTGAAAGGGACCTTCTGCTTGGTGCGCATCTGAACAGGCAACGGATGTGAGTCCAATGGTAGTTCATCGTTGCGAAAAACACACCACTGATTTCAGGTTCTAAAGATGAGTCAGGACGTGACCTGGCACCGAACCTGTCGTCGATCACATAGCGTTAGCAAGGAGAGCGGATAGCTGTCGAAAAAATATGACTCACCGCCCAATGTGGGCTGTGTTATCCGGACTGTTAACCTCGCTTGTAACAACTATCATGGGAGGGTTGCGTGCATGGGGGGCCATGAGCAAGAGCGAGTGGCCTAAAGTAAAACGACAAAGTGAGAACGGGAAGAGGAAGGGGGAGGAAACATGTAACGACCATCGGTTAAACCTGTTATAACAGCATTTTGACGCCCAGTTTATCTTTGAACAGCGTAGCTCCACGTGCGCTTGTCCCTCGCCCAACAGGGGACCCATGCCTTTCTAGCAAAAGTAGTGGAGACTTGAGGCAAACAAGGCTCTTCGAGGCTGTGGTCAAAAATGGTGGTTCTTCCAAGGTTGTTCCTGGAAGTAAGTACGTCGACGGACTGCGCCAAATTGGCTGCCAAACAACTGCCAAAGGTCCTTAGTAAACATTTGGCAATGTTTACCTCACAGGACAACCGGGTCAGCCTTTACCCGGACCTTTGAGTTGAGTCACAACCACTCAACTTTAGCCAGCTCGAACCTAACAAGAAACGCCGTTAATCGTTATTTTTTGGTGCCACTAAAACCGAGAATTTCAACCTACCGGTCGCGTAGTAATTGAGCTAAGTCGTCTAACTATGCTATAAAAATAATGTATGTGCTCATACCCTCGTGCACACGGTTGGTGCAGTAATAAAACTTCTGGCTAGTTATTCTAACGAGAAACGTCGGTGATCGTTATCTCTTCCGGCACAACTGTCCTGTTCTTCTATTCACCAAGGCCACCTAGGTTGCCGTCACACGATGACCCACAGGATCTGAAGATCTGACGCTCCAGCTTCTCCAGGCTGTGTTCCGATTGATAGACTGGATTGTCACTTTGTTCGCCAAATCACTTAGATAAGTTGGATGGTCACGAAAATCCATGTATATCTTCCACTACGTATTGGGAAACGGTTGCTCCTTATTGGGACAGCTCCGGAAATTACCTCTACCTCCACCTCTACCTCTGGCGCTCCAACTTCAGGCTCACGCTATGCAGCAAATCGACAAGAACCGTTCGAGTCGGTTATTGTTATCTTCTCCGCGTCATAAACCGAACTATAGTTGTGTCTGCCGAGTGACCGAGCTAAGTTGCCGTCTCAGCTATGGTTGTATTGAACCCTACTTATCGACTAATAAGTAAACTCGCCATTTCCGCATTACTGCCAGAGATATCTATCCGGCCCTATCTCGGAACCTCAAACAAGTACATGCTAGTACATGACGTTGAACGCCGTTGAATATCATCCTTGAGGCACTGCCCAAAGGCACACTGCTTATTTCCTATCGGCCGTATCGTCCTTGCGTCAAACACGCTTGAAGTCCGACTCCCCACAATCAACAGGCGCTTGCGGCTTTCAAAAATTGTACCCCAAAAGGCTCTCCACCCGTTCCGACCATTCCAAGGTTCGCTCAAAGGCACCGAAAGAGGCTTCTCACACATGACGGAAGCATACGGCTTGACAAGTTGGACATGGGCGTATCACAAGATCCAAGGACTGTAGGATGCCGCAGCAGACTCAAGCACAGCTTGAGTATCTAATGGAAACAAACCAATTAGAAGAACCGTAGATCGGTTCGAAGGCCCCTCGGTTTTGGTGATGAGAACGCATTATAGCCAATAGGGAAATTGCGATAAGCATTACCTGCCAGCCTGTAAAACGGTGTTCAACATGTGTTGTTACCGGACTCATATCGTTCCCTTGTTCCGACGCTGATCATGAGCTTTATCATAACCCTTGCCTCATGCGCCGGTTCCAAAGAAGGACATGTGTGGGCTTTGGCGACGTTGACGTTTGGTTTTTGACAGAGCCAAGACTGGTTAGCGTCTCAAGCGATTTAACATATCTCTCTTCTCATTAAAAAAGGCTGATTCTCTGGATCGTGGATGACGACATAGGCACCATGTCCCTTTCGGGCTTCATGGCCTCGTGGAAGGAGTTAAAAGTTGAGTGTGTCCCTAATAATTTGACGCTCAACAGCCACCTCTGTGGCAGTGAAACGTGATGTGTTCGTTCGGCACCGGGCAATTAACATGAAGAAAATAGTGAGTGCGACCGCGCCGAAGATGATCCTCGCTCATACCCTGATTCCAGTATACCCATCTGTATTTTATTTTGAAAATTTATTGAGGTACACAATTCAATCGTAGTTGTAGATGACTTTAAGGAAGTTCGCAGTATGTGACTACTCCAGAAATAGAATATCATTCACTCGACGCTCCCACTGTGATTCAGGAATATTGAAGAGGTGGGGTATGTATTGTGCAAGGGTATAAATAGTACGAGGTGTGTAATGTCATTGAACACAGTCTTGAGTTCAAAATTTGAGCCTACGTCGTAGAAACAATATTTGAAGCACATGTTTTGGAATGGCGACTCAGAGTGGACCGAGCTGCGAATGTTTTGTTACAATGTTTACAAGGATGGGGCTTAAGACCGTCATGAGAGTTTAAATGATCTATCTCCTTGTGAGCAAGAGATAGCAATAAACGGTATAACGCAAAACACGTACTGTAGAGATTATGTTTTTCGGTGAAGGTTTGACCACAACCAGGCCGAGTACACTGATGTCGAGGTTTCCTGACGCGTTTCTTGAGCGCGTTTGCCTCCAGTTTATGGCTTGCAACTTTTTTCATGGCCTTGGTCTCAAGTGGTTGAGAGTCAACGGTTGGCGCTACAGAGGATGTGCGATCGAGGGCCCCAGCGATGTGAGGTCGCAAAGTTGAATTCCGCCAGGTCGAAATATGTTGCCCAGCCAGGAGATTGCCAGAGTTCGTACGGGGCCCAAGTTTATTGGGATTATTCCAAAGGCCGTTCGACAAAACGGACGATAGGTTTTTCGTGAGGGAGAGGTTTGTCAAATCCCCCGCCTCTTCATCGAGGGAGATGTGGAAGGCGATGGTGGGCGTAGGCTGATGAATCGCGGCGTGCGTGGGATTGCACGTTGTCGCCTCCTTTGTGACGCGTGCACAGTGAGCAGGCACCATGTTCATTTCGGGAGAGCTGAGCCTTGATTCGGTGGGGTGGCGACGATTTTTAGTGACGGCCTTACGTCTTTGGTTAGATCGCGAAACAGTTGATGATGCGGCGATCTTCTGTATGAAAAGCTGGCCAGGTGACGATAATAGATTATCTCCGGCAGGAACCCCCAAATCCGTAGGATTGGTAGATGATCCGGTCGAAGGAAGTAATTGACCAAGCAAAGATGGCTCGTGATTGTCACCGTTGAACAGCGTCGAGTCTAAAACCTCGGGGGGCAACTCCAGGGCTGGGAAGTTACTGACGTCTGCCTTTAAATTGTCGAATGACACTGAGCCTCTCTTCGAAGTTGTGTGAAATTTTTTAGAAGGGAACCCCAGCATAGTCTCACTATAACTTCGGGATTTGGAAGAGCCTACGTCACCAGAACCGTGTTCATTAGGATCGCTGAGCGCAAAGTTTCTGAGAAGTGCAAAATGTGGAGACTCGGCGGAGAGTCTCAGCGGCGAGCTCTGCCAAACTTGTCCATCATGTAAAGGTGAGTTAAAGGATGACGGTAATGAAGCAGGAGAGCTAGGGACTCCTTCGGAAACTGAGAAAACGAGTAAGCGGGG